GTATGTCACTTCTGTTTGAACTCTTTATCTTATTGTAGACAAACTGGAAATTACATTGTCATAAGTGATGTAATAAGTGATACTGAAGCCAATATTTAGATAAATATTTCTTGAAAATTTATTACTTACTGTATCATTGTCTGGAATAGGCTCCCCTTTCTCTTTAGCCTCGTTTTTCATCTTCTCTAACAGAGACAAAGTCTGTTTTAATTCCTCCACTTGTCTGGCATTCTGTTGTTTCTGAGAAGTTATCAACTCATTTTCATGTTTCATATCCTCTACTTGGTGATACTAGAAATAAAAATAATATTCACATTATCAATAGTAGAAATCTTTTACATTTTTCAACATAACTGATTCAACAACTTACGCCCACCTACGTTAGATACGCCCATTTATGGTACCCAATAAATTAAGGTATATATGATGCAAATAAATGTCAAATAGTACCCAAAAGCAACCTTGTACAAGATCTTGTTTATATAAATCCACAAGATTTCATAAAATCTATTGGGTTGAAACTTTGTTATCATTTGTCAAATCTTACCCAAAATTGAACGTGTCCAAGATCTCATGGATATAAACCTACATAGAAAATTAAATTGTACCCTTGCCCCTATCATAGAATCTAATTAATATAATGAACACTGTAGTGACTGCATACCTTTTCTTGTAATTCTTTCTCTAAAACCATTACTTTCTGAGAAAACTCTTCATTCTCTCTACGTAAATTACAAATCAATACTCTGGTCTGTTCAAACTTTTCTTTATTAGCTACATTAGCATGTTGTACTTTATCTTTCCAGGCTGCTAAATGTTCATACTGACGCTTCATCATTTCATTGTTATCTTTCATATACCCTACAAAATATAGTTCACATATTAAATAAAACAATATATAACAATCACACCACAATACAATTTTAAAGGATTCTATTGATTATAAAGCATGGGAACCAATAAACAAATATAAAAAACTAAATATTTTCAATACACTTAACTATTAACCAAACATACATGAGATAAAGTTTAAAACCAACAGTCTTACTTAATAACATTTTACATCTTAAAAACAGTTTGAATTAGATTTCCAAAACTCTAACCTAGTGTAATATGAACTTTTTGATTCAATTCAATAAAACTATAAACAATGCCTGTGTCGGTGCTTCCGAGAGTTGGCCCAGTGTCAGCTTTCACTGCCTGATAGTAATACCTAACCCTGTTTTATTTTTTGGAGCCCAAAATATTTGGTATTCACCAACTTATCACAGAATTGTTTCAACTAGGCTCTAACAAAACTTACTCTGAAGTTCAGCATTTTCTGATGCAAATTCTATGAGTTTCTGTCTGGCTTCATCTAAAGTCATATCAGTGAGAGATATCTGAGATGTAAATCCTGGTTGAACAGTTGGACCACCATTATTATAGCTTGCACCAGTACTAGGTCCTGAATGACCAAGAACTTCAAAATCTGACACAAGTCCATTCTGTATACCTACTCCCCTTTCACCATTTAGTCCATTCATTTTGATGCTATTCTATTGATGAAGTTTACCTCTGAAAATCAAAAACAAATTTATACAAATATTCATTAATCATCATTAGATCTTTGTTGGTACAATTACAGTTATATTTCAGTGACAGGTATTTTGTCAAGCATGTAAACTAGATCCTTATATCACTAATCATTACATCTTTGTTGGTACAATTAGAGTTATATTTCAGTGACAGGTATTTTGTCAATAATGTAAACTAGATCCTTATATCACTAATTTCAATATCAATAAGGATTATCCTTGATTGACATTTAGAGGTAGATAGAACATTATATAAATAAAATACTATAATGGATATACTACTCCTCTTTAATTTACGCAATGTTCCAATTCGCATTCAGGAATCTTTTTCAAGCAAGAAGGATACCTTTACAAATTCACTCAGGGTAGTTTAAGTACAGTGTATGTATTTGACTTCTTGTATTAAGTGTTATTGTCTATGTATTTGACTACTTGTATTTAGTACTAATAAATATGTATTTGACGGCATGTAGTGGTTTCCCCCTTTACAAGTTCCTCCCTAGTGGTTTCCCTCCAGTGGTTTCCACCTCTTTTTAATCCTAGTGTTTTCCACGGCTATTCTAAGTGGTTTCCTCCCCTAATCGATATATAATAAACTAGTTAAAAACCTGTTAATCTTAATCAATTATGGTGATGGATTACCATAATATCAGGAAGCCATTTGAATAAATTGCTGTGTTATTCTTAATTAGAAATAAGTAATCTGTTAGTAAGCATATTTGACTACTTGTATTTTGTACTATTGTCTATGTATTTGACTACTTGTATTTAGTACTATTGTCTATGTATTTGACTACTTGTATTTAGTACTATTGTCTATGTATTTGACTACTTGTATTTAGTACTATTGTCTATGTATTTGACTACTTGTATTTTGTACTATTGTCTATGTATTTGACTACTTGTATTTAGTACTATTGTCTATGTATTTGACTACTTGTATTTAGTACTATTGTCTATGTATTTGACTACTTGTATTTAGTACTATTGTCTATGTATTTGACTACTTGTATTTTGTACTATTGTCTATGTATTTGACTACTTGTATTTTGTACTATTGTCTATGTATTTGACTACTTGTATTTAGTACTATTATCTATGTATATGACTACTTGTATTTATATTATGATATGTTTGGGATGACTCATCAGAACTATGTTTCAAAGTTTGCTAGATATTGTTGATAAACAAATGGCCTACTTTGTAGTATTAATTATCAGTTGGATGTTTACATGTACTTCCACTTTTATTTATTCTTAATAAGTTCAAATACAGGAAGGCAGTGGTTTATGTCAATGTCTTTATTTCATAGTTAGTTTCTAGAAATACCAACTTCAGTTCCTTGGTCTTGAGCCCATACTTTACTGTGACTGTGTCCTGGTACTTCAACTTTAAGACATAAGTTTTACTTTGATCTTGTATTGTAACTACAATTATTCAGTGGTTTGCGTTTGGTACTTCGACAAATATAAACATAGTTATACTCACGTAATTTTACGATATTATAAACTTTATCTTTCGGTGTTAAAATGGTTTGACAAATCTACGTCGTTTACCATCAGCCCTCTATCGGTTTTCTGGCATTACTCAATTTGGGAAATACGACTTTACTCTGGGAATTCCCCTCACTATTAAAGACGTCAACTTCCGGTTCACCATAGACTCATTTAACCAGACACTCGTTTAAGATAGTATGAAAAAGTCAAACCCTTAAACCAGACTGAAACTGGATACAGTTTGTGCAACCTCCATTGTTTCATAACATCTATTCTTTTATCAAAGAAAAAAGGACGTTAGTCGAAAGGGCCAACTTTCGGTGTAGGCCTACATTACTTATATCGGAATTTACTTTTTTTTCAATTCATATTATTTTTTCCCAGATAATTAGGAGGGGGACATTCAGTGTGGCGTCTGGTGGTCTAAAATGTAGAACAAACCTCATCTCGCCAAGGGCAACTGTGGGCCTAATTTTTGTAGTGGAGCCAAAAGTAATAAATGTATAAGAATGTAAATTATCAGAATTAGAAATCAAAAAGTAATGGTCCGTGTTTGGTCTTAAAGAATGCCTGTTACACAAAAGCTAAGCCTGTCTTAATTAAAAACAGGGGTTTTCTTTCTTTTTATTACCTCTTTAAGGCTCTTTAATCAATTGCACTACCCGCCTTCCTTCTATAAATCCTTCCTATTGTATGTTAGACCCTTGGGAATAATTACCCCTCCTCCCACAGGTTGAAAAACCCTGATTTAAAGCATCCTATCCAGTAATTAAAATCTGAAAGATATTTTTCGTCACACCCCTTTCCACTTCTCTGGTATAATTATTATTAATTTGTATTAAATCATTTTCAATTTATAACCATAATCTATCATATCATTATCAACTATATATACCCAGAAAATCGATGGAATCTCAGAAAAACGCGTCTTTTACTTGGCGTGCGGCAGTCATATGGAAATATCATCGGAAAACAACTCATCACTCCAATATAGATTTAACGTTATCGTATAATGACTCAATAGCTACCACTTTTGGTGTGTATGGTTGAGAGAACAAACGTAAAATTTCTGTACATTATGAAAATGTGATAACAGAGAAAACTGTATTAGGCCTATGTATGTTTAAAATTATATCCACGGTATCAATTTGTAATTCGGACGAGACCGGACAAGCTGCACTTGACAAATTCGCAGAGTATCATTGCATACTTCAGTGCATTGGCGTATACAATACTCTTTTAAAGGTACGTTCTCTTAGATATATTCTGTCAAACATGTTGATATACACTTAGTTATGGTATGGTAGGAATAAAATGTTTATAGTGATACAAAGATAAGCCTGAACATCAGTCTCCTATAATGTATAACATGTATGCATTAAAGGCATACGTGTATAGATTCAAATCCATCAGACCGATGCAATATGGATTTATAAACAAGGTCTTTTTGACTGAAACTGGAAAATATTAACGCTTGATCTAAAAGGCCATACTTTAAATGTTTGGTTTTCACACTTGACAGGTTTTGTTTCTTTAAATGGCCCTTATTGTTTGTTTTAAGTGTTTTGTTGTTTTTGTCAACACTGATTCATTTGATGTTAGAGCCATTATGTCACAACTGTTACCATTTTTTCGTATCACAATTGTCATCGATTTTTACTTATAGTTTATATGTACAATTCCCCTCAAGAATCCGATTCACCAGAAAAGAGATTCACACTGTCAACCTGCCTGGTTGCTATATTACCAACTAACCCATTTGTTATACTATAAACTTTCGCACTTGTTATACTTTCAACCTACCTGGTTGCTATATTACCAACTTACCCATTTTTTATACTATAAACTTACCCATTGTTATACTTTCAACCTACCTGGTTGCTATATTACCAACTAACCCATTTGTTATGCTATAAACTTACCCACTTGTTATGCTTTCAAGCTACCTGGTTGCTATCTTACCAACTTACCCATTTGTTATACTATAAACTTACCCGCTTGTTATACTTTCAACCTACCTGGTTGCTATCTTACCAACTTACCCATTTGTTATACTATAAACTTACGCACTTGTTATACTTTCAACCTAACTGGTTGCTATATTATCAACCAACCAATTTGTTATGCTATACACTTATCCACTTGTTATACTTTCAACCTATCTGGTTGCTATATTACCAACTTACCCATTTGTTATGCTTTAAACTTACCCACTTGCTATACTTTCAACCTACCTGGTTGTTATATTATTAACTTACCCATTTGTTATACTTTAAACTTACCCACTTGCTATACTTTCAACCTACCGGGTTGCTATATTACCAACTAACCCATTTGTTATACTTTAAAATTACTCACTTGCTATACTTTCAACCTACCTGGTTGCTATATTACCAACTTACCCATTTGTTATACTTTAAATTTACCCACTTGCTATACTTTCAACCTACCTGGTTGTTATATTATCAACTTACCCATTTGTTATACTTGAAACTTACGCACTTGTTATTCTGTCAACCCACCTTCGAACTTGTAATGATGCTACCTATCACATGCCATAAAACTAACATGTCCATGGTCGTCTGACAGGCTACCCACGTGCCAAGGTGTCTGAGGCTGTGTACAGTGTGGGGTTATCGAGATTAAACAATATATTCATATCAATGTCAATATTCATATTGCAAACTGTACATATATTCATATCGAAAACTGTTCACATATTAATACTACAAAATGTACACATATGCATATTGCAAACTGTACATATATTTATATTGAAAACTGTACACATATTCGTACTGAAAACTGTAGCCTAATCATATTCACACTGCAAAATGTACACATATATGCATACTGCAAACCTGCTTGCATATTTAGAAGATTTTTTCTTGCGAACATAAACAACAAAGTATCAGGTTTCAGCCTTAAATAGATATGCAACATATTTAACTAATATCTAAGCGTTATTTGGTATACAAATTCATCGACGAATATATAATATTTTATCAATTTTCCTCTTTTCAGTATAATAATTGAATATAATTGGACGAACAATGGTGTCTTTATACAACACATACTAATTGTTTTGAGTTCAACTTTAAAAATATTTTGACATCGAAAGGTTACTAATAATGGATTTTCAAATGAAAATAACAAGAGGATGTAATTAAGGGGGAGGTCGTCTGTGGAGATACTTAGTTTAGTGGTCGTCTGTGTTAATTACACCTATTATCACCTGTACAAGGTGTTTGGCTTTCCCGGATTCTGGATACGCGATTCCGTGAAAATCTATAGTGACAGTATGTAAAAGTTACAATTCCATGATAGGAGCCTAGTCTGAAACATCGAAAATATATATTTATAACCGTTTTTTTTTTATCTTTGATTTATAAAAGTATTAAAATTTGGTTTTCTCGGAGAATTGAAAACTTTGTGAAATACAGATAATATAATTATCAATACGTGGACCCTGGCAAAACAAAGTCTGGTTGACCGACTTTTGAGATTTATGAACCAAATTTGTAATGTTCTCTGACAGAATTAATTGTTTCTGTTAGGACACACACTCTTAAAGAGTTTACTCACAGATTGGGACTATCTTTAGTCCTCTCAATGTCATCCGATACAGGTTCACATCGTCAAGCTGGACACGAGTCGGTTGGTAAAAGGTGCACCAGCAGATTCAGTCATTCAAATATAGATACTTGCAGGTGAGTCAAATATTTTTTTTTATTTGTTCTTACAGTGGACATTATTTTATCACAAGAATTCTAATTGATTTTATTGATTATGACATGATGTATTGAGTTGAAATACTATTCAAAAATTTGACCTCAAGCACCTACGACATCATAAGATTCTGTCAGGTTCTAACTTTGTTTCAATCAGGCAAACTCTGAGTATCTATATAGGCCTAAATAGACTCTACGGTAATACTGACAACAGAGCTTTTGATATAAACTTATGCAAACCTAGGTTCAGTGTTCTGCCATTTCTGTTTTCTGGTTTCGCTGGTGTTTTTTCTGTTAACCAATTATATTTTGGAAATTTTCGGATTAAAGTAATTTAAATGAATGTCTTTTTGATCAAGGCTATATCCAAAACAATAACGTCCTTGAACTTGGCCTATATCGCCATTAAACTTCTAAGAAACTTTTTAGAAATAAATATTTGTTTTAATCCTTAGTATGGCTGATTATTTGATAACTGGGGGTACAGGTTATGTACCCGATGATGGCCTTACTGGGGCACAACTTTTTGGTGGTGGAAATGGTATGACTTACAAGTGAGTATTTAATTTAATAACATTTACAAAATAATGTTTTCTTCACCACGTGTAAATTGTATTTCATAACCCACGTGTTCAATGAATGATGTGGTGAAGTTTTTTTTTCAGTCTCAAGAGGAGAGGGTTGGAGGGTGGGGGGTGTGGCAGTTTCTTGAATGTGTTTTCTAAGAGGTGTAGGGTTTGAAATATTTGATTGACCCTGTTGAAACCTGTTTTGTAAGGATTGAAGGTTCGCGGCTTTATAGCATTAATTTACCTTATGACAGCCACATCCTGATACCCTGTCATGGGCACCGATTGCAGTGGTTGGTCCCCACCACTTTTTGTGGCTAATATTTTGATTTTCAAAATGCGTCATTACCCATTAAAAGGACAGCTGCGCCATTTTAGTGCGTTGGTTTGAGTCTTGAATAAATAGTCTTCAGAAGTACGAGAAAGTCAGGTAGTCACTGATTCTTAGACTTCTCCTGTCTTTTGTTGCTGCTGTATGCAGATATGTAAATTCTGTAAAACTCATGTTCCTTTTTTGTAACAAAAATAATCTCTTGCATCCAGTGTTGCAGACTATTATTAAAGATATGGTATACACATTGTTTTTTTTAATATGCATCAGTAACATAGCTATCTTTTAAACTATTTAGATATATTTGGTTATTTTTCAGTGATTTTCTGATTCTACCAGGTTTTATAGATTTCTCAGCTGATGAAGTGGTAAGTTCACACTTTTCCCTAATATCAATTTAAAATTACATGTATCACATATTGTAGTATATATCGAGTACCGGTACATTGTTCATTTTAACACCTCAATCCTGTGCCAGGGAGCCTTGGTGGCCCAGGTAGGATGTAAAACTCCTGTGTCAGTGTGTTATTTTTTCAACCAACCAAATCACTCATGAAAAGAATTTTTGTAAATTTTGAAAATGCAAAGATAGTTGGAAATTTAAATCAAATGTCTTAACCCAATTTTTCCAACTCTCAATTCACATTTAAAGATGGATTCTCTTATTTTTATTTATGAAAATGAAAATGTTAATACTTATATGAACAGAAAGTAGAGGTGTTCTAATGACTTGCAAAGATACCAGTTAGACTCACATGGCCATAATCAATTCATAATTACCTGAATTATTAGAGAAACACCCGCAGCATTCCAATGAGTGACTGATAAAGAAAGGTCAAAAAGTCTTTTTTTGTTTATCCAGACTACATACATATGGACATTTTTGATTGGTTATAAAAACTCTTAATTATATGCAATAAGAACATAATGATATGATGAAGAATACATGATAATCCATAAGAGACACCCATTAATCAAATATTTTGCTTAATTTGACACTAAGAAATAAGGAAACTCATCTTTAATAAGTTTTTTTCATTTCCAAGTGTAACATACCAAACACCACCAAAAAATGAATGATAGTGCTACTTTAAAAGAATTGAAAATTATTGATTAGTAGGAAAACTATGACAATGAATGATGATTTCTGTGTGCAAAAAAAAGTTTGAATATTTCATTGGTAAAATGTGTGTGTTAATCAAATCTGTTACCATGGTAACATGTATATAAATAAATATTCAATGTAGCAGATTACAGTGATTTAATAAGGTCAATAAGCAAATTTTCTGTATTGCAATTGACTGTTCATGTGATAATTGTTTACAAATGGCATTTATTGATTTTTGATTCTATTTAGATGACATTGAACATAAAATTAAAATTAAGTTTCATGATTCTTGAGAAAGGTAGTATGTCCATTAAAAAGATTAAGATTTGATTATGTCTTCTGTGATCAATACAACCTAAGGCATACAAATGGGCATGCTTGAGGTGAACCATACTCGGTCCAGACTCATCCGGCTGGCCTGTATCGATACACTGCACTGTTTTCACTGGGCGAGAATGTGAGCCATCAAGTCCACACTGGCTTTCCAGTCAGTCAGTGGCGAAAAAAAACCTGGAAATAAAATTGTCGCCAACGATTATCAATGCGATGAGTTTGAATTAATTTTGTTACGTTCAAATGAAATCTTAGCAAACACCATGTATTGTATTACAACATTACATATCATAGGGCCAAGGTCATTTCTCCTTGGTAAGTGGGCTGCACTGATATTTTGCTGTGCTACTCTGGACCCAGACCACCTTTTCTTGCTGTACTCGATCTACTTATAACTATCACAGTGCCAAGCCCTCTCAACCTGTTTACATTTGCCACCTTTTCTGCCAAACTCGGTCTGGATCTGGAATACAGTGTATTGCCTTCAGTTAATAGGTAGAAACTTATCTGACCTGTAGGATTTGAGGAATTACCCCTTAAATAGGTTTTCTGAATAATTTATGTGTGTAGGATATCGATTTGCACCATTCCAATCAGACATCTGTGGTTCCCACAATTTGACTTAAACTATGTGTTTTTTTATGTCACTATCATAAAGGTCTTTATAAATAGCAGCTTTTGCTGTAATGATGTCACTTACTTTAAGTGGAATTACAAGAGCCACAGCCTCTGAATGGAAATTCGAATGATGCAATTTGTTGTTTTCCTGATACACATAAATTTTTTAGAAAACCTCTTTACAATCCCTTTAATTCACTCAACTAATTGTGTTTGACAACAGAGAACTCACAGAGAATTTGTTAGACCTGATTTAAACTTTTTATCAGTTGCCCTTGAAGTTGATTTTGGTAGTGGTGTTTGTGTCAAATAACATGTCAAACAACGTTAAACATGGTCTGAAAATAGTAAAAACATTAAAATTCACATGAGAATGATAATGTTGAATTAAAACCCTATTAAAGGTGATAGTCTGATTTGATTTAAACATAAAGAACTGGGCTTATTATGTGTGATATTATCTATCTAAATCCTTTAGGTTTCAGTACAGATGCCACATTTCCGGGAGTAAATCACGGTCTCAAAAACATGAATTGTTATGCTAAATTAATCAGTAATAATGTTCACAACTTACCCTAGAAATTTTTTAGTAGTGTATCTATAATTATCTATGTTTGAAAGTTACAAAGCTACAAAGCTATCAGTTTCACGAGAGTTGCTTTGGAAACTTGTAACCACTATTCTTATAGGCACTCGTCTTCAACTTGCTATCCTGTGAGGGAACCTCAACATTAATAGATTTTAGCTGTTTGTGACATACTGGGATTTTAAGTTGAAACTTTTAAAAAAGAAAAGGAAATGATTAACTATAGTGGATTATGTATGACATCTAATCTTGTTTCACTGAATTCAGTCGATTTTCTGCAATTTCTAGCAAAGATTTCCTGAATTTCATTGGCAATATTTTTTGATTATAGTCATAGAAATTTTGAAGTAATTACTCTGTTTTTGTGTTCAGAAAGCAATCTAGGCTTTATTTTGATTAAATTTTGGTGTCGGAAGTAAATTAATCCTATTATGATCAGAATAGCATCTTTTCAGACTAATTAATTATCTCAAGATTCTCTTATTAATTAGAAGAATTGCCATGAGTAATTCTAGATATTGTATAGGTCTAGGCTAATTTTCTTTCGCTTTCGAGGCTAAGACTGCACAACATTAGAAATTTTTGTTAACCAATCATACACCGTGGAAATTTGAGCATTCAAATCTATGTGTGTCCAGAATTATCAATGTTTGAAAGTTAAAAAGACAAGTCGTCTTTTCTTGAGCCACTGCCATATATAGAAATGAAATCTATAGAAATAGGAAAAGAAATTTCTAGTTTGAGAAAATACTCTTTCTGTGCACTTCTGTTGAATTGCAGGAAAATCAAACGATAGACTTTGATTTTAAAAAGTGATACAGATGGCTGAAAATGAACTTCTATCAACATCTAGTAAAGCCAATGTATTGACAAATATATTCCTTTAAGGTCCATGATTTTTGTTATATTAGAAGAAACCATTGATGTCTCTAGAATGATATAAAGTCAACTTGCCCTACTGATAAACAGTGTTTCTTACATAATTGAAATTTAAAAAGGTTTTTTAGGTTCTGAAAATCGATAGATATTGTTAATGTTCAATCAAGGAAGAAATCTCATCAATATAGCATGAATCTCTTGTCTATTTTTTTGAATTTTACAAGTTAATTATTACATGCTTAATAGTTTTGTTTTGAAGTGAATAATATTAGTATCTAGTCTAATTATCTTGTGGAAACCTAACTACCCTCAACCTTTCAGTTATTTTGTACTGTATTACACTGTTCTGAAAAAATTTGCAGAACACATTTGAAATTTTTATAGTTTTGGGGCAGTAGTTCCCTGGACCAATCATGTGAACCTTTCACACCCCAAAAATTTGTTTCATCCACATTTTCAGCATGTGATGATGTGAGGTGCTCTCTCAACTCAAAATAAATTTTCTCCTACACTAGTTAGCCACACCCCTTACACCCTTGTCCCACACCCCCAGTGGGTGAAAACACCCCAGGTTTGGAACCAGGGTTTTAGGGACTGTGTAGTAAGCAGAGCAAAATTGAGCTAAACCATTTTAGACCCTCTACCATTTTTTCCTCCAATTCAAGAGGAAATTTATGTATTCATTACTTCCAATATCTTCATGTGAAGTCATCACCAATAATATGACATCATTGGTGATAAGAGCATGTAAGGATGTTGATAATGTTGTAGAATTTATGAGTTCTAAACTGTCAAAGAAAGTTCCTGTTGAATTTTGGAAAATCAGTGAACTTTATAGACTAATGAGATATTTGAAGCTGTAAAAACTTCCTCTATGAGTCATATTGTAGACAAAATTTCACATAAAGAGAGTTTCTGTCAAAATATGTTTCAGTTTTCTAATACTGTGTTGTTAATTTGATTGTATTTACACGTGTATTGTAATACAAATACATGGCTGGCAAATGTAATGGAAACAAGAATCCTTACATCAATGAAAGCTAATTAGAGTTATTGAAATCAATGAATGTTGTTCAGTAAAATAGAAAATTCCTATTGATTTGATATAAGTCTGTAGAAGGGAGATAAGTGGTTCAAGGACTCTTTCTAAAATTGGTGGAATTCTTATCTTAAGTACAAAGGTTTTAACACAGTTAAGATCACAGTCATTTGTGGTGATAGCATGGAGAAGAGTTCATGGATATCAGTTACAGAACTTCTCACTGCAAAGAAAGAAATTATTCTGTGTATACTTCTATTACGAACTTCTTCTTATACTTTGACTGCAATAGCCACTATTCTTGTATTATGGAATGCAGCAATTTGATTGGATTGTATGCCAGCCCTACAGCCAATCACACACATTCTGTATGCTACTCTTATTGTCTTTTTTTGCTAATAATGTACAATACAATAAAATCGCTGCATTCTGTGATACAAGACCGGTGACTATTGGAGTCAAGGTATAAGAAGAACTTTGTAATAGCTTGTCATTGTGAAAATGATTTAATTAATGATTCTAGGACCTAAGTTTGTCAGTATTTTGCATTATCAAAGGATATCAGTAGGCTTAAAATCAGATACTATTGTGAATAATAGGTTACAAGAGGATGTCTTCAGTGAAGTTCAATTGACTTGTGAATATTTGTAGTGAAAAGGATATATCTAGTGATATAAAACTTGTTGAAGGAGATCAACTGTTTTTGAATCCATTTCGATGTTTGAGTGATTAATTTTTTGAATGGATATCAGGAACACTTACAGTACAGCTTCTATTTTCATCACTTGCCTTGCATCATTGGCTGCTGTAATTCCAGCAAAATATTGACCACTTTATGAAATGAAAAAAAGAAGCTAAGACTTTCCCCGATGTGCAGAAATTGTAGAGAACTCCTATTTTCAATCCATATTAGCTGATAGTTAGTAGAGTTAAGAGCTCAATCATTGAACATAACTCTATTGTTGTTAACCTGTTGACCTTTTCAAAATAACATGATAATATCATTGTTATAGAAGATGAGATTAATGTAAACATCGAGGACAGATTTAAAGAGAAATCCTTATAAAGTGAATAATAAGTGAATACCTTCTCTAGGGGCAGATTACCGCTCAATAGTTGTTAGCTGACAGAAAGCAGTTGGAATTTTTTGATACAGTTTCACTGAATTATTATTCAATCTTAGTGAATATATATTTCTGGATATCAATGAAGAATTTTTTAATGTCAGTGAAAAGTTGAAAAATGTAAAATTGTGAGAAGTGGAGAATATGAAAATGGAGTTATTTGAGGATTGTAATATTTGTACGGTCTATAGACAGGATACTACAGATCAAGATCAGTCTTATTTTAATTCTTCAAAGTTTGGATTTCTAGTCTCACCCTTATCTGTGGTTAGTTTTCTGTTACTCTCTCCAGCAACTAAAATATAATGACTGTCCTCATTGGTCACATCACAATTCTTAAATGCTAAAGAATCAGATGTGCATTCATCATGTAAATGTGTGAACTGCAGTCAGATGTTGATCGGGATGTTTCGTTTTGTGTTTTTCTTCAGGTTACTAGACTTATCATCAATGATCTGACAAGCTTCTTCTTTAAATTGTGTTCTGTCAAATAATATTCAATGAATATCTATGAATTTTTCAATATAGAAAAGAACAATTTTTATTGAACAAAGCATCTGATTGACCTAGAGCCTGAGATGTATAAAACTTTAGTTAGATCATGGATGACAAATGCTGTCATCTGCATAAAGGCATTAAACAAAACATCTAGATCTGTATTGGAATTAGGGTAGGTTGCCCTAGCTGGGTTGCCCCAAGATATGTGATTATATTATCACTGTATGATAACTGAAATTCCGCTCTCATTATTTTTCAGGATTTGACGTCTGCTCTCACAAGAAAGATAACTCTGAAAGCACCATTAGTTTCATCACCAATGGATACAGTCACAGAATCACAGATGGCCATTGCCATGGCTGTAAGTTTAGTTAATATTTTCTGAAGATTCTCAAAATGCATTTATTCCACAGAGTGAATTATATATGGAATCATTACTTTGTCCTAGCACCTAATCAATGCCATCCCTTTCCCTTATGCATCATTATTTTACAACTACTTCAAACCAGATTCTGAGGTTGGATTTCTGACATCTTGTGTTTTTGTCAATTTAAATTGATCTGTCTAGTTTTGAGTAAAATATTTGTAGTCATTTTGTTCTTCCTTGACCTTAATAAACATATGTTACTTTGCAGTTATGTGGTGGTGTTGGGGTTATCCATCATAATTGTACACCAGAATTCCAAGCTAATGAGGTCAGAAAGGTCAAGGTAAGTTGTCATGATTTGAAATATCTGTCAATCCTAAGAAATGTAATAATCATTTTAGTTTCAAAAACGATTACTTAAAAATCTTGCTTATCATGCTGTAAAAGACCAAAAACATGGAGGAGAATTTGCACCGTGGATCAGTCATGACTGGCATATTGTCAAAAATGCAGTTTCCACATCATATATCATTTTTTATGACCACCATGGGCATGTTTTATCACGGCTGGCAGCCACCTATTCTACATTTACACATCTCCTAGTGTTTAAGCTCTTTCAACTTCAAGACAATAGATTTTGATTGACAAGACCACAATGCATGTTTCAGTTCTACTTGCCTTTAGTTATTCATTTCATTAAAATGTAGTTCATCATTTAAAGGGATACTGTCATCAAATTTTTGCTTCAACTACTGATAAACTTTAATTCAAGATATAGGGTACCGGTAATACTGAAGAATTAAAATGCAAGTTGTCTGTACAAAATGCCAAAAGAAGAGATCCATTGAAATCTTGTTATGGGATTTTTCCTTCACAAAAATTAAGTGTTTGATGACGTCACTAATCTTGAAATATGCTTTATCACATAAGGTCCTTCGCAATTAGTCATTAAACACTTAGTTTTAGTGGAATTACAGGAACCACAGATATTTCAATGTTGCAAATTGATGCTAACAGTGTCCCCGATACACATTAAAAAATTAGAAAACCTATTTACAATCCCTTCAAGAAAGAAATTCTATCATTGAAACTGCTATATAGGACATGTCAATACATGATTTTATCCCCAGGGAAATTCCTAGAAATGTTGATGCATTATCTTATCTTTTATTGATTGACATTTAGAAATATCATCAGTTTCCATTTTGTGGAGCTAAGTGTAGATGATAATCAGGTAACTAAAGTAATGGATCGATGATGTTAATGTACATGTGCGATCTTAAGAAATATAAATAAAAAGCCTGTTATATATTGCTAAGTACATGGGGGTCAGCAGGTCAGTAGTGTCTGAACACATGCATTCACATTGAGAACATATAAAACAGGCAACACTGGGTTCCCCCATAAAATTCCATGAAGAATTGTGATCATTAACTTTACTACTTCATGGAAAATGCGTATTCACTAATTTGTAGTTAGCAATGGACATGAATATCTCAGACCTTTTTCATTGAGTCCTCTGTTTCATAAAGCTTTATGTTTGTAATATAAGACAGCAATGGAAATGTGGTCGTATATTGCTTTTGACTGTCCGTCCGTTGGATGGTAATTGCTTGATAAAACACATCAAATTTGGCTTGTGGGCATGATAGAGGCTACAGTTTCTATCTGATCTTGATTTTGTATTGATGAGATCTCAGTCGAGTTCGATTTTGGTAGCAAAAGACTTTGTTATCATTTCTGACAGCAGGTTGTGGGCGTATGTTTCTTTGCCTGGCAAGCTATCTTTAATGAATAGAAATGATTAATAAATACAACATGATAGAAAAATATTCATAATTACAATTCCATCTCATCATTTGATAATGATATATATAATGAATTGATAATATGAAATGAGAGTTAAAGCCTGCTTTTCCTCTCCTGACTAGCTCATGTATACAAGCAACTATATTGTACCATGAGGAGAATTTAGCTTGGATGGCTGCATTAGTCAACTTTTCTATATCAAAGGACATTTGCATGTAAAACCTGTACCACAAGGGCCATAGTTTATTTTCTGATCTGAATGAAAAAGTTTTCTCTTCATGTCATTTCATGTAAGTGAGAAGAAACTAGATTTAAGCACTATACAGTCTAATAAAATTAGACCAAACTTTCTGTTTTTTACTAGCTCTTTTTCTAATATTGCCACTTAAGTTAAAGTCTAATGACAGCCTTAAAGATGCGTCCAATAAACCTTTTCACCGAAGCTGATAAACACTGCTTCACAAAATGCCAGCGCTGGAGAGGGTAGAAAATTGATTATAAGGTATACATAAAAAGTTATTAACCATACTAGTATTATTAAAAGAAAAGTTATAATTATCTCAGTAAAAAAATGAGTATTTTATAATGGCCACTAATTACCAATCAATTAATTAGTACTTTTTATTATCTCAAATCTGATCATTTTTCTGGTTATTTTGGTATAATTGAATATCAATAGTAGATATCAATAACTGGGAGTGACTGAATCTACAAAATATTCTTATAGTAGCTTGGACAAATGGAAACGAGAAAAGGATCAATCTCTATTTGGAAGGGGAAATGAAAGGAATTGGAGTTTCATGTTCTACTTCTGCACCTTTGTGCACTTATGGGGACTGCAATGCCATGTAGTGTACAATGAGGGAAATTTTGCCAGGACAGCTGCATTAGCCTTTTTAAAAAAAATTTAACTTTGAGCACACTCAGTGTCTGATCCCATACGACCTACTAAACACTTTTTCATCGTACCTGCATCACTGACAGGGAGAAAGCAGGTTGGTGTAGAACCAATGTCTTTGTTGTCTTGCAACATGCATATAAGTAGGACAATACACTAGGAGATCATTGATTAAGTGATAATGTTTTTTCAGTGATAATTGTGACAATGTAATGATGAATTATTATTGTATAATATAGATTTTTACTAGATCAATATCATGTGATTTGATATATAGAACTAGAACATCAATATCTTACTGTATTATTATAACATATTTACTAATATTACAGTTATTGAAAACTCCTGCTATATTTATAAATCTTTTGATTTCTCCATTGATATTGTAAATTGAATGGTTTCATTCAGGTTGTTTAACATATCATAAATATTAAACATTGAAACCGTCAAATTAGAGCTTTTCAATATTCCTGTCACTATTTTCTAATGTAAAAAAAGGTTTGAAACCGGCTATTAAATTTAGTAACCTTCTTGATATCTAAAAAGTGAATCAAAATTGATCTGTTAAGTTACATCATTGAATGTGTTGTCCCTTCCATATTGTCATCGATTAATGTTAAAGATGTGTTCCCTTATTTTCATTTATGAAAATGAAAATGCTAATACTTATATGAATAGAAAGTAGAGGTGTTCTAATGACTTGCAAAAATACCAGTTAGACTCACATGTCCATAATTAATTCATAATTAGCAGAATTCCAATGAGTAACCGATCAAGAAAGGTCAGAAAGGATTTTTTGTTTATTCAGATTGCATAAACATGGACATTTATGATTGGTTAAAACTCTTAATTATATGCAATAAAAACATAATTATATGATTAAGAATATATGATAATTCATTAGAAACACCAATTAATCAAATAGTTTGCTTAATTTGACACTAAGAAATAAGGAAAGCCCTCTTTAACAGTAAAATTTCTTGTTTATGTTTATTATCCTCTTTAAAGTGAAATGATATATGTAAGGGCAAATTGACCTCTTGGTAGAAAGGTCATGTCATTATATCTGATGCATCAAGAACCACACAACATGTTATACGGAATTAACATACAGAAACAAACACACACATTACATATGTATTGAATCAGATTATAACATATTCATACCATACACGAAGATTACAGACAAGAGACAAAATTATGTAGACTAGCAATCCTAAACATGAACTTTGAAGGCGTACAGTCTCAGACCTGTTATTTTTTCACACATTGGTAGTAGATCATCAAAAAGGGACAGCAAAAAATCATTTGGTCAGTCTTGATCTCTTTAATCTTCAATCTTATGATGCAAAAAAAAACAATTTAAAAAATGTTTGAATGAGCAAAGGTGCTCTATGTAACTAATACTGCGGACACACAACGGTATTGGTCAGGGATTTTTGTCGCCCGACTAGAGTCTTGTTATGAGTTTCTCCTACCGGCTGCGGGCACACAAGGAGACAAAAAACCTCCTGTCAGTCATATTCAACCATGTTGATTATCACGTGTGGATCATGTAATTAAAAGAAAAATGAATCTGATTGGATGATGATGCTCTATCTTGCAGACGATGAAACAATTGGCAACAAATGTCAAACTCTAGAAGCACGGGCACATGTGAGATTTTACTCCAGATTTGAGTCAAACCGAAGACCAAGACTCTTCATTTGGCCGCACTATTATGTAGTATAGTGTATAGCACTGCTTAAGATTATTATCTCTTTCTCTCTATTTCAGAAATATGAACAGGGTTTTATATTAGATCCAGTAGTTATGTCCCCTAGTAACACAGTATCAGACGTACTAGAAGCTAAAAAACGTTATGGTTTCTCCGGAATACCAATCACATCGAAGGGACATATGGGAGAGAAATTGGTTGGCTTGGTTACACAGAGAGATATAGACTATCTAGATATAGACCAGTATCAAACACCAATTTCTGAGGTGGATATATTATATGGTTCAAATTATCCAATACTAATATGAAATACTTGAAATGTCTGGCTCTCTATTTCTTATAATAATACTCTTACTTTGTAAAGGAGATTGAGTTTTACCTCTGAAAAAAAACAGTCATTGTTTTATATTTATTAAGGAAATTGTTTTGTATGTTCCAGGTAATGACGAAATATGAAGATTTAGTGGTAGCTAAAGCTGGTGTTACATTAAAGGAAGCCAATCACATTTTACAACAGAGCAAAAAAGGTATTATACTCTTTACATCTTTATGAATGGTTTGAAATTTGACTCAATAATCTTCAAGTGGTGAAGCTACACCTTCTTTTCCTTGATGATTGGAAAAATTTTTTGATACTTTTATATATCAAATAATCATAAGCAATCACTATATGAACTCATTGTTATTATAGGCAAATTACCAATAGTCAATGAAAATGATGAATTGGTAGCTTTAATAGCTCGTACAGATACTAAGAAAAATAGAGATTTCCCTCTCGCTTCCAAAGATGAAAAGTAAGTTTTAATTATAGTGGAGTGTCAATAAGTTATCCTTGACTATCAGCACTAGTTTAAAATGTTGTGGACTAAAAGAAGGGCTTCAAATTTGTTACATTTTTAGTTCAATTTTTCATGAAAATCAATCAAATATTTCTATCAATATCAGAATCTTCTGCTCTCTTCCAGAAAACAGTTAGTTGTAGGAGCAGCAGTCAGTACACATGAAGATGATAAACACAGAATAGATTTACTAGTTCAAGCTGGTGTAGATTTTATAGTCTTGGTAGGTAATTACCTTCTTTAACTAGTTAGATATAGTGTGACTTGATAATCTTTACTTCTTACCTGTTTGACTCTTAAACCTCTAATTACTTGCTAAGATAGCAGCAAGAATTCTAATTATAGTTATCATCGAGCTGTATAATGTTAAAAATTCAGAGTTATCTACCCTTTACAGCAGCATTATCAAGTAGAAGAATTCTAGAGGGCACTCAATTAGGGAGTTTTGTCCATTCAGGATTCATGGAATCTTCTGAAAGTTCAATAAAACTGTTTCGAACAGGGTTTAGAATGTATTCCACCTGTGCTGCAAAAAGGGAATGTAGACAAAATTCAAAATGGCGGAGAGAGGTACAGAATGGAAAATTTTGAATATGACAACCAGTTCTGTACTGTTTGATTGAAGCCAGAATTGAAACAGACAAAACCTGTTCTGAACTAACTTATTGACTGTTCAATACTGATTTGGTTTCAAGGTTTGAATAGTCCCTCAAGAATTTTTTAGTCACCGAAATTATTGAAAGTCACACTATGTCTGATGTAGTTATTTAAAAATTATGTAGTAGAGTGTTTTATATACCCTTCCCTGTTACTAACATTGGTAACTTTACTAGTAGATTAACTAAAACGCTAGTGTTATAACCAACAACATACTTAGTTTACAAATGAAGAAAACAAATTAACATATCTTGTAAAATCAATTGAATACTGACTTAGTCAATTAATAACGTAAAGTTGTATGCCTGGTCATTTATATCTAGAAGGGCTAGCATGCTCTGCCTTATTCAGTGTTTTTGCAATCTAAGCAGTAAGTAACTGTCCAATACTGATGATTTATTTCTATTTTCAGCTGAAGGTAGGTAGAGATATAATTAACACTAACTCTCACATCACTGTTTTCTTCTTGCATTTGTTTGTTTACTAACACTTTTATTTAAAACTCTGATAAAATCTTGACTTTCATATTAGTTTCACGTTGATTTTGATAGCGAAAATAAGATGTCGTTATCTGAAGTGGAAGACATCACAAATTCAAATAATTGTGTAAAAAAAAGTCATCACAAGTATGTGGCAAAAGATTTGTGTATATGCTTATTTCAGATTTTGCAAATTTCTAAAAGATCTTGAGATTACAAAGTAATTCAATGGGACAATAAACCGAGGCCCTGTGTGTTACAGGGTGTGCGCGTTAAAGATCCTCGATAGTTAGAAATCGAAAAAGAGCAGGCTAATGCCACTGTCCTGGCAAAATTTCCCTCAATGCACCCTGCATGGCGTTGCCCGTCTTCATTAGCCCACATGGTGCAGAAAAGTAGGACGTAAAACTCCATTTATTTCATTTCATTTACAAAGTAGTTCAGTAGTGTGATCATAGTCAAGGCATTGAATTGTGAAAATTGAATCAATATTTTATCAGAGTTGAGTTATTATAATATTTATATATAGCATGTCTCTTATTGTTACAGGATTCATCACAAGGTAATTCTATCTATCAAGTTAATACTATAAGATATATGAAACAGAAGTATCCTGGTATACAGATTATTGGTGGCAATGGTAAGTCTTATATTCAATGAAGATTCATCTCAACCCAACATTTGAAAATTTGTAAAGAGCTGAATACTATTGCTCTCCTCGTAAACTGTTCCTCATTGTACACTGTAGGGTTTCTAATCAGAAATAAGAAGTATTTGAATGTGAGACTTATCTTAGTTAATGTCATTATAAATATGGCCACCTGCAATATATTTTTAAAATTTTGATATAAGGCATATTTCTCAAACACCATTTGAAATATCAACATATTGGAAAGTATTTCTAAATCATGTATGTAGGAAGTGTTTCCAGTGAGTAAAATAAAATCAAGTAAAGAGTGAAATAACTTGTATTTATTAATAGTTGTAACAGCTGCCCAAGCTAAGAATCTGATAGATGCTGATGTAGATGGATTAAGAGTTGGTATGGGAAGTGGTTCGATATGTATCACACAGGAAGGTAAAAAGACCTTCTTATGATTGCAATTTTGTGAATAATAGTTTTCTACATGTGTTGTATGTTTGCATAGAGACAAATCTAAATAAGAAGGCATAGATCTCAAGTCTTTTTGAAAAGTCATATATAAATGACATTTAAAGATATAAGTCAAGAGTATAATAGAAGCCTACATTGAAGAAATATTGTACAAAGTGTAGGACTAAGTAACACAGAATCTTAGAACATTCAAGAATATGGTGTCTGTGTTATGCCAACTTCTTGATATATTTTTTGTCAGGACAGAATGAATATAATTGACAATGTACAGAGATCGGAAGGGGTGTGCATTAATTTCTCAATTATATGGTATCAATTTTTTGAATATTGGTTACAGATTTGCCTGATTCATAAAATTAAGATAATGGCCTGTTTTAGTATTGAAACTCAAGTAGGTCAGTAGGATTTGATTTTATATATTCTTTTTCTTAGTAATGGCAGTAGGTCGACCACAAGGTACAGCTGTATATAAAGTGGCAGAGTATGCTCGTAGATTTGGTGTTCCAGTAATAGCTGATGGTGGTATATCTTGTGTTGGACATTGTATGAAGGCTTTGTCATTAGGAGCATCAATAGGTTAGTAAACGTTTTTGATAACCTGAAAGTTTCTTTAGGACATATCATGGATTTAGTTAAAAAAAATTCAGCTAATTTAAGACATCATTTGGAACCCATCAATTTCTAGAGATATATCTAAGAGATATTGAACTGATTTCTGTTATATATACAGAATTATTAACAATTAGTCCTAATTATATGTTGTCTATTTTCAGTGATGATGGGATCATTATTAGCCGGTACGTCTGAAGCTCCTGGAGAATATTTCTTCGCTGATGGAGTTCGACTTAAGAAATATCGTGGTATGGGTTCATTAGATGCCATGGAGGCTCATAGAAGTAGTCAGAGTAGATATTTCAGGTAATACAATGATTAAATTTCTAGCATTTAAACTTTGGGACAAAGAGGAATAATAAAAACACATAGACAACAATAAAATCATATCACTTTCTCTGTTTGAATGAGAAGATCAGTTCATGGTTAATGTACAACCCTAATCTCACCCCCCTCCCTACAAAAAAAAATATACACCTGGTATGATTATAACTAAAGTAGAAAAATTGAACTACTGTTCTACGTGCTATCTTAAATTTATGAAGTTTCCAGTCTGTGTTATGGTTTTATGCCTTGATGTACATCTTGGAGACAAATGGATTATGTCATTTTTACCCCAGTAGATTATTTTGTTATTTAGAGCACCCACTGCAAATAAATTGACGGCAATAAAAAACACTCTGAATAAAAGAGTTTGTCTAAGAGTTCATTAATCGGTATATAGCTGTGTATTTACATCAATGTATTGAGTGATATAAATCTTTTTCATTGTTATATTTGTGTATATTTTCAGTGATTGTGATAAGATTAAGGTAGCACAGGGTGTGTCAGGTAATATTGTGGATAAAGGATCCGTCCAGAAATTTGTACCGTATTTAATAGCTGGAATCAAACATGGCTGTCAAGATATCGGTGCTAAAAGTTTGTCTATTTTAAGGTAGGTGCCTATTATTTACAATTTTTTTTTATCTATTCTGCCATTGGCTCCATTGATATTCCAATCTCCTAGCAAAAGAAACAAAAGATTTAAACAACTGTTCCTTTGACCAGGGGTAGACTGAGGTGACTGACCTCCAATGGCCAAGAGGGCAAGAGTCCTACTAATTGATTACAGAAACATTTGTGTCAAAGAACAGTCTACAGGAACATGCTGGGGAGCCTAGCTGTGGGTTTTGATGGGACTTAACAGTTAAAGAGGTGAAGTCATTGGAAAATTTTCTTGTTTCACACCTTTTCCAACTTATATTTCATGTGCACAAATTATTAATAGAAATATTTTTAACTTTAGGTCAATGATGTATTCAGGAGAGTTGAAATTTGAGAGAAGAACAACGTCTGCTCAAATAGAAGGTGGTGTTCACAGTTTACACTCGTAAGTTATTACATAGTTTGGGTTTAGATTATTCAAATATAGAGGGTGGTTGAAAATAGATTCAATTGTATTGTGATTTATCAATATGATCTTAGATATTTTTCTTAACTTAAAGGGACAGGTGTGCCATATTCGGTGGGTTGATTGTAGTCTTGAATATATGTAAATAGTCTTCAGAAGTACTAGAAATGTACGAAATCACACATGGATTTGTAGGCTCAAATTGAGCTATGAACACTCCCAGTTTCTGAGTATAAAGTATGATTGGTAAAAAAAAGGCCAACCTGTCCCTTTAACATCCTTAAGATAAGCGTAGAAATAGTGTCTATAAGAGGTAGAAATACAACGTATGTTGTAGTATCCAATCAACAACATTGAGGCTTATTGATGGCAACTTTGTTAAAGAATGTTTTCAAAATCTTTGAGATACTGATTATTATGATATATAAAAATGTTTACACTTTGTAACTCAAACCAGACGTCTTTGGCAAGTTAATTCCAAGAATATTACAATTTCTGTTTCTATTTATAGATATGAAAAGAGATTGTATTGAAGAAGACTGAAGAGGAAGATGTAGAAGAAGAGAAAGTGTAACAAAGTGTCAAATCTTCATAAATTATTGGAAATTCCAGAAAAAAGAGTGGCGAATCTCAAAGCATTTATCAACGTGTTCAACTTTCAAAATTTAATATTCAATATCCAAATGAAATAATATGATTTTGCACACCTTTTTGGCACAATTTGACATTATTGTTTCATTGTCATTTCATTATTTCATTATTTTTTCCCCAGAGAAGTTAAATATCTGATTGTCATATAGGGTTGATCCAGATATAAGAATGCTAGCAAACTAATTTGAGCTTGCTTGAATTTATTGAACAGGAAGTTGTTGTGCAGTAGAATTGGGTTATGGGATACAGGGGGTCGCTTGATTGGTGAGTTCTGCACATTCGAGATTCATAGAAACAACCAGACATTCAATAAAACAAGTTGATACAAGTTCAGAACGCGTTCCATGTGTGCCTAAAAAAGTAGATGCAGAAAGAATTCAAAATGGCGGAGACAGGAATAGAATGAAAAAACTGGACTGACATAATCTGGTTCTGTTCCATTCGATTGAGGGCCGAATTAAAACTAACGGAGCCTGTTCAGAACTCACCAATCAAGCGCAACGCTAATAACCTTTGAACTAGTATTCTTCTATCCTTGCTTTGAAGTATTTTGATAAATTTAAGAATGAATTGGACTTATGAATTAACGATTTGTTTTGAAAGTATCAGGGTTGAGAAGAAAAAAAATTCAATGATTTCCATTCATTACTTTTATATTCGAATATCATTTGTGAATCTAGTAACAATTTGTTTCATTTCTAATAGGGAATTTGATTAGCTTCATATCTTCTATCCTCAGATACTTACCCTTGAAATTAACTTGATAACTTGTGCAAGTAGGCTTGTGTCATCTATACACTAATATAAAGGGTTAAAGGGATTGTAAAGAGGTTTCCTTAATTATTAATGTATATAAGGAACACTGATAGTATCAATTTGCACCAGTCCAAGATTCAGTCGATGTTTATGGTTCTTCCAATTTCACTAAAACTTTTTTATGATGTCAATATTGGAAATTTTTTTTAAATTTTGTGATAATGACGTCATTAAACGATAAGTTTTAATTGAATGTTGAATATCGATGCTATCAGTGTCTCTTATGCACATTCAAAGTTTAGAAAACCTCTTTACAATCCCTTTAAATAATGACAAAAGTTGCAAGAGAAGTATTGGTATCTGAGGATTTATATTGAACAACGCACAATCCATCTTCAGTGTTCATAATTTATACATAATAATTTGATATCATTAGTCTTATAGTCTGTATAGAATTCCTTCAGAGGTAATGTCAATCTTATTTTATGGTAGAATAAGCCTGTATGTATTTTTGGCAACTTTGTGTTGCACATGGCAAAGTGACAGTCTAATTAAAATAAGACCAAACTTCTAATTTTTTTATTAGCTTTTATTTTGATATAGCTACTCCAGTTAGGTCTAATGACAACCCTCTTGAACATTGATCAAAGTGACTTTTGACCTAACCTAATAAACACTGCATCACAAAGTGCCAGCTCTGATGAAGGTAGAAATATGATTTGGTTAAAGCAGCTTTCATCAAGTTAGGTCACAAGGTCTATTTGATGAATGTTCAAGAGGGCTGTCATTAGACCCTTACTGGAGTGGTTATATAAATTCTAAAAACTAATAAAAAAAACGGAAGAAAAGTTTGGTCTATTTTAGACTTGGCAAAGTGATTTACCTAACTGTTCAGGACCTTTCTCTGTTCAACTCCAGGATGTTTGATATCAATCAGTGGAACACAAACTAAAACAGTATTGTGTCGCTAAAGGATTATAAACTAAAGCAAGACTAACCAGCCTTAAAAGTATAGGATTTGACACTACCTCTTGTTGTATTTTTGTAATATTTGGGTATTTTTGATGTACTATAGAAAGTCCAAATACACTGATAGTTTTAAGTGTTAACTTTATAAAAAAAAATTAAATGTTTTTTAAATGTAACACTCAGATATAACATAAACTAATTGGTTAAATATCAAATACTTCAGCTAAAATACCAACTCCTTAGAATCAACCTTTTCTCACATTGTTAGATTTAAAGCACTTGAATATAACCTCTTTTGTACTAGATGTGCCTTCATATTAGCCAAAGTCTTGCTGGGCTTTCTGTTATAAGTTATTTCACGTTATTTTGGAAAATATGTCAGGATTATTTCAATCTATATTACTTTCCATATATAATTACCTCTTATATTTAACTCAAATTATCCATAATACTCTATTCAAATGTGTCAATGCTTCTCATCTGAAAAGAGTTTTCTCATTGCACACTGCATGGTGTTGCTCATATTCATTAGCCCAAACTGCATCTCATTTATTGAATCTATATTAATTTTACTCTACAACTGATGAATTATCTCATTTAAAGATAAATTAATGCTCATGCTCAATATCTATATTTATGGGATCAATTTGTGCTTTCACTGCCTTGTCATTTTATTTTTTTTACCAAAGTATTTTGTCAGCAAATCGCTATAATTTCTACGTAAACTATATTCTAGTGCATTTATTTTGTCTTATGTGTTAGCATTAAATTAAATATCAATTGCAATTATCACCAAATCTTCTCAATGTCATATTAGGAACTTCATCTTATACCTTGATGGCAATAGTCATCTTTCTTGTGTCACAGAAGTTTGTAAATTCAGCCATTTGATTGGATTTTATGCAAAGGAATACAACCAATCAGAGACAACCAAAAGTCTGTAAGCATAAGCCAAAATGTTTACAGTCTTTATGTCAAGGGCTCGATAGTGTACAATCCAATCAAATCACTGCTTTAACAAACTTTTTTAACACAAGAAAGGTGACTATAACAGTCAAGGTATAAGAAGTTCCCAATGGCTTGACATTGTGAAGATGTTATTATCAAGGGAGCAAAAGATTTATTTTCATTCTTTATGTTTTTTTATCAGAATTAAATACATTTTATTTATCAAAAGCTGGAGATCAAAATTGTCTATTGATGTTTTGTACTTGATCCATTTTTTATAAATAGTCAATTTATTTAACTCTTTATTTCAAGCAATATTGAAAACGACCATGTAGTCAGCCATTCATTAGCTTCCATATTTGGTCTAGCATAATATTTCTTAGTAATGATTTGAAATAAGTATATTATAAACTTATACAGTAGAGCTATATGAATATAATAAGTAATATTCTATATACATTGTAATAGATTAGGGATTAGAATTAATGATTTACAGAAATGAAATGAATACGAGTTAAATGTTCTACTTTTCTGCACCAAATGATTCAGAAAAAAGTGAACAAAAATGCTGTAAAATTTGGAGAATAATGATGCTAAATTGAAGATTTTATCAGAATCATAAATAAATCAGTGCCCATACTCTAATAATGTGACTCATATAAATGATATGGGACTACCTGAAGGATAACTAGTAACAAAATCTCTGATAAATTATTTCAGCTTTTATTTTTGGGGAAAATTATTCTTGTAAATTTGTCAGAGGGTTAAAAATGATCTTTACATATAGTAATGATAATCTTACATCTAATTTACATCATTTATTTGTTTATTTAAATTAGATTCTAGTGCTATAACTTGTTCTGTTTGTTTGTGAATTCCATTTTACGTATGTGTTATTTTTGTAAATAGTCCAATGGCAATATAATAAAATGTTTACCTATAGTCATGCTACATAACATACCACCATAAGGAAAGAAGGTATTATGGGCAGTCACTAGTGTTTAGGGGGGGCAGGGGGGAGAGGGGGGGGTGACAAAATTGATACAAGTGACAAAACGCTTGCTGTATAATTATTTTTATTTGCTTACATAATAGCATAAAATTTTAAGAAATTTAATTATTAGTTTTTCATTTGATCTTGTCTTGAACTCATGTACAGCTAATTGAAATTCATGTACAGCTAATTGAAATTCATGTACAGCTATATGAAATTCATGTACAGCTATTTGAAATTCATGTACAGCTAATTGAAATTCATGTACAGCTAATTGACATTCATTTACAGCTATTTGAAATTCATTTACAGCTATTCGAAATTTAGAATAAAGAGCAATACTGAAATTTAAATATAGTGAAATAGGAGACTCAGTTTTGAAACATATTTCCTAGCCACCAGTGAAAGGTCAGTTGCTTCCATCGAAACTGCATAATTTTTAAGTCAAATACAAAAAATTCACTTTAATTCTGTGACCTCTTTAATTTTCAGAAAGAAGCATAAATTATTTGTGTTTGTATAATTGTTCCAATTGTTAACATTTATGTATATAAAATAATCTTGAACATCTAGACAGAGAATGTCTGTTTATCATTGATGAGAGTCTGGATGTACGAGATTTAACTATGTTAAATACAAGTTGATTTTATGTACCTTTGTACCAATTTATTATTGTCCAAAACAGAGCAGTTACATCATCACAGTGTGTGTAGTTTTTTTCATATCCTGAATGCAAAAGGATTGGCTCAAAACAAATGTTTTCCTTTGCGTGTGGGGGGTATAAAATGTCAAGGGTCATCATCTCATGCAGCATGGTTTTTCTTTGACACGGGGGTTAAAACTTTTTCAATTTTCACTGAACCCCCTTGTCTTCATCCCCATTTTTTCAGGTCCACGTTTATGTCCCAATTCCACACAATCGGCCTATTTGGCTATCTCAAGAAATGAAACGTATTTTAATGTCTTTGCGATAGTGGCGCCAGGGACGTTATTTTTGTCGGAATCAGAATCACTTACGTCTGACTGAAACTTTAAATGGTGCCAATCGATAGGCCTACTTTCATTGTCCCCATTACAAATAAAAAGTTCAGAAACCTCTTTATAATCCCTTTAACACAGAATGCTTCTCCAGATTATATATAGCTCCAGCGGTGATAGTAAATTCATGTCCAACCAATATATTCAAGAAGATCAAGTTTCATCAAAATTAGGTGTAAACTGTTGTTTATAAATCATTACTTACTAAACTGCGTTTTTACGAAGTCAAGGGCAATAACTCAGAAATAAATATTGTTAACTTCAACCTTGCTCAAGACCTCATCATCCTATGTCCACAGGCTGATGAGACAGTTTCACCAAAATTGATAACGTCTCGAAAGTAAACAAAAAACACCATTCACAGACTCCTTGTATTTGCAACTGGAGTCTTCTTATGAAAGTAACTCAATATTACTTGACGAAATATCGTTAAAACCGAACTTATCCACATCGACATGGGACGTACGTTGTCCCTGTGCCTCTAGTTTTTTCAGTTTTTCAACATCAGACAACTTGGCGATTGTTTCTTCAGAATCGGTCATCAACTATAAACAATGGGTTGGTTATAAATCTTTCGTGATAAAAATGACAGTCGAAATGAGGGTCATTTCCGGGTGAAATTGTCATGGGTAAGAAATCGCAGGCATTCTTCAAATGTAGAATTATCAAACTAATAGGCCTACATTGCATTGGACCGCGACAATTTTTGAAACAAATGTTTAGCATCTTACGATTTTAAGATCATTTTAATAAATATAATATGTGAAATGACAGAAATAATCAATGGCTAAACTACCATAGGCACTGGTTGAACCAAGTGCAATGCCCCCAGCCCTAAGGGGGCCACCAATTCCTAGAAGAAAGTACCAAAGTAAACAATTATAATCAATTAAACTATATGCACCCAGCAATATCTAAATCAATGAAATTGCAAGAACTAGGCTAGAGACTGAAAATCTTTAAATCTTCCATTCACGGGCATTAAATTGACTTACAGAGGGGTCAGAAGTTACAAAATAAGCCCCTTAAGTCAACAGCTCCCTACTCATCCAGTTGATCCACAGGAAATAATTCAGAAGACCTTTAGTCTAACCTTCATTGCAACCGGGCACACAAAGGCGACAACAAAACATAGGCATTAAAAAAACATAAGTCTTGTATAAAGTGCTATTGATTAGCACGCGTGAGAGCAAATTTTCACAACTTGGTCCTTTAACCTGTATAGCATTAGATCTTGATTTTAGTCCCATTGTAGATATACATTATTTTATGAATTCCTCAACCGACCCCAAATTTACTACTTTCCATACACAAAAGTCTACATGCAGGCTAGCATTACTGCAAAGCCATGTTCCCCTTTTTTTTATTTGAACCGCATGTAGACACTCTATCTGGTTTATGCAGAAAATCAAATTAAAATAAATGACGTAATCGTAATAATTTAGTTCATGTTGGAATAAAAAACAATTTTCTGCAAAGTCCATTTTATATAAAAACATGCCAATGGTTGTATAATACATCTGAGCTCTTGGAGTAAATGCATATAGTAATTCTATTGTGTTTCGGTTTTCTAATGATTTAAAATTGAATTTAATAATTTCGCGTATGAATGAAATAATAAACGCTCCCAGCCAGTTCAATCTATTGGAGAATAAAGAAGGATTGAGACTACATCCGGGTACTTGGGCCAGGCTGGGGAGGTCGCCATTTTAGCATTTACACGCGCACCATACACTCAACTTAAAACATACAGTTTGTTCAAATTAATTGTGAAATCTTTAATTTTTCTTGACCAATTGACAATTTAATAATAGCAGATTTATTTTCAGGTGTTAAAACAAGATGGCAGGCGCTCCAGTGACCGAGATGGGAATGAGACGACCGTTCGATCCTGTTGCTCACGAGTTGGATCCAAATTTCCGACTTACGAAGTTCGCTGACCTAAAGGGATGAGGGTGTAAAGTCCCCCAAGAAGCTCTGCTCAAGCTTTTAGAGGGACTTTCAAATGACAGCGAACAACAGGATGAACAGTCTCAATTCCAATTTATTGGAGCCAGCCCAAGCATTGGTAAGTGATGCGATTTTATTGCAAATTTTTAAGTTTTATGACCTAATTTGAGCTAGAGAACTCAGTTCCCAAATGACTCCATTACCGCCAAACTTTATTTTGAAGACTTAAATTTTGCTGCTCATTTTAGCTTATAATGATGCTATTGTAGTTACAGATTTAGTTAGGACCTTATTTTGAGCTCATGTGTGTGAAAATCATTGAAAATTTACCTAATATAAATATGTCTGGTTCTCCTTTCGAATCACAAAATTGGAAAATGGCGTCTTATCATCGACAACCCTGTTGATTTATCACGTGACTTACTGGCTGGCGGAGATTGATTAGCGGCTTCTTTAAAAGTTCATAACAAATACTTACGGACAATCAACGTTTAAGTTACAAATCCATAATGTAAATATTTTCTAATGTATAGATTGAGAAAATTATTATAATACATTTTTATGAATTTTTCATAATTGTAACGAATAAGCCTATTCATGACTTTTTTATTTTGGATTTTTCAGGTATTGGTATGGATTGTTCGGTGACACCATTAAGACATGGAGGTTTGTCTTTGGTCCAAACAACAGATTTCTTCTACCCGCTGGTAGATGATCCTTACATGATGGTAAAGTATACAAAGATCAGGGGCAGGCATTTTTTCATCATTTGCTATGCATTTTGGTTTATTTATTGTTTTGTTAGTTTTGATAATCGTTGGTTGTAGTTACATGCAAATCTTTAGACATTTAACAAAGGTAATCAACCCAAAATTCATGTTGAGTTGTGTTAGACACTAGGTCTGAAATTATTGATATCAAATTAAATGTTTCAGGGAAAGATAACTTGTGCTAATGTTCTGAGTGATCTGTATGCTATGGGAGTGACAGATTGTGATAATATGCTGATGTTACTGGGAGTCAGTAACAAGTTATCAGTTAAAGAAAGAGATGTCATTGTTCCTATGCTGATGAGAGGATTCAAGGTACTTATTCTTGTTATTTCTCTAACAATGAATTCAGAAATAGCGGGGATGCTACATTTTTCCACTAGAATATACTTGTACTGTTCAAGGAGGGGTTGAAAGATTAAATGTCCCAAATCCAAAATTATGTTGAAAGATTGATTGTCCTAATAAGGAGTGAAACTTTAACATTTCCCCTTCAGATATTGTCCTTTCTATTCCAGGATTGTGCTGCAGAAGGTGGATCCAGTGTTACAGGAGGTCAAACTGTACTGAACCCATGGATGACAATAGGAGGTGTGGCTACAACTGTCTGTCAACCTAATGAATTCATCATGTAAGTATAACACCAGTGTATCTTCTCTTCTTTGGGGGGATATGTGCTTAGGTTTTCGATCACATCCTTACAAAATGCTTTTTCAAAGCCATCTATTCTGACAAGCACCACTGTCAGTGGAAACAAAAAACAAATATGCTTTCACCCCTTAATCAATATCGCTGGATTTCAAAGTTGATAATGCATAATTTCATTGGTTTTCCAGGCCTGATAATGCAGTTATGGGAGATGTATTAGTGCTGACTAAACCACTGGGTACCCAGGTAGCAGTGAATGCCTATACATGGCTAGATCAACCAGAGAGATGGAATCGTATTAAACTGGTAGTAAGTGAAGATGATGTGAGGAAGGCGTATCAGAGAGCTATGTTTAGTATGGCTAGATTAAATAGAACAGGTAGGTTTCATAGTACTTGATAAGTTGATATGACTCATTTACTGCTGTAGATTTTAAAGAATTGGTGTGGAGAATTTTGTAATATTTTGACAATCAGCTGAAAAAGCTTACTTTATCTTCTATCCCCACTGAAAAGACAGTGTAGCCAGAGTCTTCTGCTAGGATAAGATATATCTTGCCTCTGTGCTTGCCTCCATTTGCAGAAAGTTCGATTGGTGTAACTTTTAGATTCCGCTTTGACCCTTCCAGTTCCCATATATTGATGCTGATAAATATTTGATTTCTACATTTTAGCCTCCCGATTAATGCATAAATATAATGGTCATGGTGCAACTGATGTAACAGGATTTGGTTTATTGGGTCATGCTAACAATTTGGCCAAAATCCAGAAAAATGAAGTAGGATTTGTGATTCACAATTTACCAGTTATAGCTAAAATGGCGTCCATCAGTAAGGCATGTGGTAATATGTTTGGTTTATTACAAGGACAATCTGCTGAAACTTCAGGTAAGTGTTTGTGCTTTTTCAATTTTCAATAAGACATCTGTGGTTCCTGCAATTCCACTAAATTGTTTCATGACGTCACTAATTGCAATGGGCCTTATGTGATTGTGCATATTTTGCGATTAGTGACATCATCAAACAAATTGTTGAAAATTGAAAAAAGTGCAGAGGTCTGTCTGATTATTTAAATGGTGCAAATTAATGCTATCAGTGTCTCCGATACACATAAAAAATTTAGAAAACATCTTTTACAATCCCTTTAAGTTATATTTCTCTGATATAAAATAGAGGTAATTTCAATATGTTGATATTTCATAATGCAGTTTGCTTTCAAACTCTTTGCGTCATTAACTGGACGTTAACTTTATCATCAGTTTAATTTATTTAATTCTCGATATATTTGTAGGTGGTTTGTTGATCTGCTTGCCGAGAGAACAAGCTGCTGCATTTTGTAAGGATATTGAGAAACAGGAGGGCTATCAGTCATGGATTATTGGTATTGTGGAGAAAGGCAATAGAACGGCTAGAATCATTGATAAACCTAGAGTTATTGAAGTACCAGCTAAAGACAGAGATGGCGAATTATGGTAGTGCTAAATATATCATCCAATCATAATCCCTTGAACTTCTTAATCAACCAATCATCTATCTGTTATACCAATTGTATTCACCAATCAAAATCCAGCCAATGAATTTGAATGTGAAAACCTAAGCAAAAGTTGAAATAGCAAAACTTAAAAGATATTTATGTTCTTGCTTATAAATTTTAATTTTTTTTTGAATATGGAATTTTGATATTTTTTAGCTATTGAATTATTCAAAACCATAAGATTTTTTGCATTTATTGTCCTGTCACAGTGTTACGTTATTTTTTTTATGTTTTTTCATATATTTTTTTAATTATTTTAATTGTCTGTGAAGTTACAAGAAATCATTCCTCTTATTATCATTAAATGTAGCATTCGTGGAGAAATATTTTCAATGTAAGTCAACTATTGGATTATTTTTCATAAGAAAGACTATATCATTGAATTAAATAGATATAAAAAAAAATCAATCGAAAAATAATTAAATACGATTCATTTTGGCAATATTTGGTTTGAGCAAGACCCTGAGCAAGTCTTTGTGTTCACCCTTCTAGGGCCTCTCAAGAATTTTTAGTTGCTCTCTTGGAATTTCTTTCTATGAAGTTTTTCCATAAAAGACGCAAGTTGGGAGGAAAAGTGGATCTTGAAGAATATTTAAAGAGGCAACTGAAAATTCTGACTAGTTTCAATCATTTCATTTATTTTTCATTAATCAATCGTGTCAAATTTAGAATAAATTTTCAAAATCTGATCATTGTGTAGTTTATTGACCCATCTTGTATTTGCTTCAATACAAGATGCACACTGACAGTATTGTCTTTGGAGGAAGGAAAAGTACACTCTGTTAAATTTGTTTTCTGACAGTATATATTTACAACATGCAAGGGTAAGTTATAAAAGTGATGTCTGCTATAGTTATTATTGAAGATAGCTTAAATGAAATGACTTAAAGACTGACCAGTTTTGTGCTTGTCAGAGTAGATTAACATAATATAACTCTGGTTAAATACTATCACTACATTAAGATCACCTTATCAGATTGCAAGACTATAAAAATGACATTATGGTAAAATAGATCACACTGGTAGAAAAATATAATTTAATTTTAACGAACAACAACAAAATTTCTTACATTCACACAAATTTACATTAAAGTGTTTTGCACACATATATATCTCTTGTCTTCTAAAAGACTGTATCCAGATCTTAAATTGGCAAGATCATGAGAATATCATGAGAATATTCTTGAGAATATGCCATTTAGGTTTTTTGCTTTCATGCACCAAAGCTGATATGAATGAACCTACAGTTAACAAATACCAAGCAGAAAATTTGATATCAACATCACCAATCCAGGACTTGTTTCAATTTATTGTATTAGTATGACAATAATCAACTCAAAACAGCATAACAATTGCATTTGAAACTACAATAAAGTATACTGGACTGGTCACCAACATTCACTCTAATCACACACACCAATAAATATTTAGCGTCTTCCCCGACGTTTCATGGCCGCCACACATTGAGGACAATACCATTTTCCTTTAGGTGCTTGAAGCAACCCAACACAACCATAATGAAACCATTCAATAGGACACTGAAAATAAAATATAACATAGAATATTAAATATGTTGCAACATGATTTTCAATTTTATTCATGCAGAAAGACATACAATAATGGCTTTTTTTGTTTCTTTCTGTCGAATGAGATGAAATGCTTTTTCATCCAACAAAGAAATTAATTCAAGGATCCTTTCATCATTTTTTAACTAAGGTTCTCAACACGTACACCCATGCTTTCTATGAGTTAAATTCTAATTTCAGCTTAACCTTAAATTTATCCGAAATATCTACTCATTTAGAACTGGGTGGATTGGATTACACCAAATATGACTTTTTCAAGATCACTGATGAATAAATTTGCACTGCACATCAGCAGAACCACTGGGCTATTTTGAAAATCATTTAAGGAAGGAAAATAGTGAGACGGAACAGGGGAGGCTACTCACATCATCATTATCACAGCCAACCATATCACCATATGATACTTCATTACACAGACAATATCGTGGTTCATTAGGATCACTCTGCCATGTATCAACCACTTGAAGTTCTTGATTGGTATCTTCTGTCTGCCCTACTGGTGCTGGGGGGTCAGGCACGACCACAGGAGGGGCAGGGGGTGCTGCTGTAGTGGTGTTTGTTTGTGCTGCTAAGGCTAATGCTGCTGCTTTTGACGTTTGTCTGAAAATATGATCAATGACATATAACTAGTAGATAACTAGGCTGTACTTTATTCAAACATTGAGGTATTTGATAAAAGCACAATACAGCATCCATCTTTCATTAAATTTCAAGGTGACGCTCCACTTCAAGAGTTCTGAGTTCCGTCTGTTCCAATTCTGTCTGCACCTACAATTTTTTTTAGCACAAATGGAATGCATTCTGAATGCCATTTCCTCCTTCCTTACAACTATAGAAAAACAAAACTGTAAATTTGTGTTTTCATCGATGGAATTATTGACATATTCATTGATTGCAATCCTCTACAAGTTACTACAAAGTTAATAATTTTCAAAATGGCTTACTTTTTAGTTCTGTTAGATCTAGAAGTAGGTTCAGCAGGACTAGGAGAGGGTGTAGGTGTATTATAATTGCTATTAGAACTGAGATCCTTGGTTAAAACTGGAGTCTGATTCCTAGACATTAAATCATAACTTGCTTTCATACTTGATGTTCTTCTACCTAACTGCATCTAGAAGTCAACAATAACTTGATAATGTAAGTTTGATTAGTTTGTCAAAAAATATTGTTCTTTGGGAAAAGGCTGATGTTGACCTGGAAACTGTTAAAAGTTGAAAGCAACTGGATTTTCAACAACTGCTAACAAGTGGGTGAATCTGAATTCATTAAATTTGTTCCTGTTCCATTTTCTAGTAAAAGAAAATCTTGTCCTTGACATGAGAGGTCCTGGGACCATCCAATTGATCAGTGTGGTTAGGCAACCCATATTGAATGTGATGGATCTAATGAGATGTTTCAAATTGTCATTCAACTTAAGCCCACCTTTCTTTACCTTTACCTTTGTATTGCTATAGACTGAACTTAAACAGACTACATGTATATCAAAAAATCTAGACATCATTTTCATTGGGATGTATTTTAAAAGAACATGGATATTGTGATTGCTGTGTGTAATTACCTGTTGTGTTTCTGCTATAGCTTGTGAAGCTGCAGCTGCAATGGCTGCATTACTACCAGCTCCAATATGGCCTTTAAAGTATAAAAAATACAAATAAATCTGGATATCCTAAACCCTCGTAAGTACATGACAATGCGACTGTTTTGTCATAAACATGCTTATAGAAATAAAGGCTAGTCTCAAAAGCTTGAAACGTTCACAAGCTCAAATTTCTTTTGCATGGAGACCTTAATAAGAAATGAGACACTTACCTAAATTATAAGATAAAGAAGGATTGGGATTAGAATTAAACATAGAGACTGAAGGAGAGTTGGAAGCAGACGTTTGACGAATTGTCTCCCTTGCTGCATCACGAGCTAGGTTTGACAAGACTTCCGTGGTAGATCGTTTATCTAGATGGTTGTTGATTGGTGGTTGAGCAACTCGTTTTCCTGAAGAACAAAAAATAGATATAAGTCAGGCAAATCCTATTCAAAACAGCAGCACTGATAAGCCATATTCATTTTTCATTAAATATTCATGGTTCAAACTGACAACACATCTGCACACAGGTGAAATGTTGCACTTAGAATATAACCCTACCTACCCTCTTTACCCTAACAACAGGCAAAATCAAAAGAGGCGAAGTGACACCATTAAACCCACAAGTAATATACTTGAAATAAGAAATTTGATAGAAAAGACAACCATAACACATGAAACTTACTTTCAGAACGTAAAGAATTATTCATTTGTTGTGGTTTATCTAATTCTAAGGATCCTGGAAGAAAGGAAAGAGTAGAAATTTAAAGCAATATTTTAAAAGAAAGAGGTCCTTGGTGTAAATTTAAGATATAGCCCTACAAAAAAAAAAGTAAAGAAATATCCTACTGTAAATTAACATGCATAATATTATTAATTGTATAATCAGGAATGGTTCTAAAGAGTTCTGATATGTCTTACGTTTTTCTAATACTTCTGTAATACCAGCATTATCAGCCTCTAGTTCCATTTTAAACTTCGATAATTCCTGATCCAGCTTCCTCAGATGCCGATCCACCTGAAAATTTAATAAATTGTTATGAGTATTTCCAAATTTCAGACTGAAGAGTTTAAAACAATATCTTTTATCTATATAATCTAAAAATTGTCACGAATCACAAACCTGTAACTATGTCTATGACAACCAATATAAGTGGTGATAAGAACACAATCTCATAACAGCGCTGGCCTTGGTCACAATGTCATAACAGTTACATATACCTACCAAGTCATGAATATGATTAGCTAATTGAACCTTCTCATCTGCATCTTCTAATGTTTTATAATAGGCCTGAAAAAGAAGAAGTCCGATTGAGCTTTTCGTTCTATTACTGAAATTAATATTTGTAAGGTGATTGTGAAAAAAATCATAACATTAGGAACCTTCTACCTTGACTTTATGAATGAAACTTCAACTCACCTCTTTAATCTCTTTAAAGGTATCATCTCTATTGTCGTTCTTTTGACTAGATTGAAGACATTTCTTAAAGAAAGCTTTTACTCTCTCATCTAAACTATCTAGTGAATCTGAAATATTTTCAAATTTGGCAAAATGTAAGAGGATAATCTTATCTAAACAAATTGATAACAGACCACTTTATACTCAGATTGACACCCACTTGTTCTAATTTCAACCTGTCCTGGTTTCAGATTAATGGTTAAGGGGAAATAACTCCATTTAAAAAAAAAACAAAGAAAAAGGGAAATCCCCTATGCTGGTTGTTTTCTAATCATTTTTCTGACAAAATTTCTACTCACTTTGAACTTGAAGATCAATTTCTCTCATCTCTGTCAATCTTTCTCTCATTTCCATCGGGAGATTCTCGATCACTAGAAAAAAACGAAAAATTCAAATTGTGAATGAAATACACCGTATTTCCGAATTTGAGGGAAATATATTGTAAGTTTTCAGACTTTTGCATTATGTGGGTGAATTATACTGTTACTTACTCTCCAAATAATCTTCTAAATACAACATTTTGAGGGTTGAAAATTTACTAAATTTGCACAAAAATGGCGGTACGTTAGGATATCTAATAAGCGAATAAGAGGTGTTCTGATTGGTTGATGTTATCTATAAACACAAAGGGATTCCCCTGGAATTTGAAGAAACTTGATGATATTTTGTCCAAAACCAAGTTTGAGAACATGTCATAACTTTATTATCAATATCTTTTGACATTTAACACACAAATAAAAGACATAAATATTGAAAAAATAAAGAAATTCCACAAATTAGATGCATATTTTGAACCAATGAGATTGTTTGTTTTGCCTCTGTCAGGCAAAGATCATCCATGTGCTTTCGAAACTGCAAGCAGAAAGAAATGAAGATACCAAGCAATTGTCTAACATGAATTTTCTTATTTGACCTCTGAATTTGACATGTATGACCAATCTAAGACAATAGATCATCGAAAATATCAGATTTGATAGAATTTAAGCACAACTTTCGATTTGTAAACAAATCAAAGGTCAAGGCTGCTGTGTAAGGTCAAGGTCACTAATGCCAGCTGTTAAAAATACACCAACATGCAGTTGAAACTTCTTACAACTTGTGGAACTTTTCTTCACAGATGCGCCAGACAGTCAAAATTGCATGCAAGGTTTTACTCAGATGCATCGCAGGTATGATATGGAGAATATTTATAAATATCATCGTCGGGGATCAAAGTTATGACTACTTTTTAGTGTCATGATAAAATGTCTAATTCATAGCTATAGACTACACCAGATAGCAGATGCCAACTTCAAAAGTTTGAATGTTGTTAATCTAAGCTCGAAAGGAGAGAAAGGTGTTTACAGTTCGTTAGACTATAACTTTTTTGATTACATTGTGATATTGGTGCTATGAGAACTGACCGGTTTGAAACTATCATTAGTAGGCCTAAAGTTGTCAAGATTGTGAAGTCTGCAATACCCATGAATTTCTTCCTTCACACAATGGATAGTCTCAAACAGCATTAAAAACTCAAGACTTAAAAATTATATACCGATTTTTGTTTTTGTTTCAGTCCGAACTCAAAAGAACATGCCTTTACAATTTTCACCTGGCTCAGGGTGGCAAAATGGTGCCATTTGCTGGCTGGGAGATGCCAGTACAGTATAAAGACAGCATATCAGCTTCACATCATCATGTTCGAAACGCTGTCGGGATATTTGATGTCTCACACATGTTACAAACAAGGGTTGATGGGAAGGATCGTGTTAAATTTATTGAGTCAATGGTCGTAGGTGATATCCAAGTATTAAACTCTAATCAAGGAACATTAACTCTGTTTACAAACGATGCTGGTGGAATTAACGATGATCTGATTGTTAATAACACGGAGGAAGGATATCTTTATATTGTGTCAAATGCTGGGTGTAGGGATACAGATTATGCAAATATGAAGGTTGGTGAGCACTACAGTATAATTTCCTTGAAACCAATGAAACTTTGAATATTATGATATGGGAGGATACTTTTTATGCAGACGTGTAGGGCTAGGTATTGATTTTCAAATTGAGATTGATTATCACAGACTAGCGATCAATAATCAATTAATAATCTAAATATTTCAATTGAAAAACCCTGAAAATACTAAAATAAAAACATGGCCCAATTCTTAGAAGTAAATTCTTGCTTTGATCAGTTATTATAGTTTATTGTGGGTAAGTTATGTGCTGAGGAAGGAAAACTTGTGGAAGAGATTATTACTTGTTATCAGGTACGGTGGAGAAAATGTAACTTTGACATATAAGCGATTATGAAATTTGATAATCGATAATTGAAATTATAAATCTTAGCGATGATCATCGCTTATTTTGATCATTTTATCCAGCCCTACAGATGAGTACTAGCTATAGTAAAAAGGAGGAGTGTTGTCTATTTGAAGATACACTCAATACACATAATGACAAGCAATACCTAATTATAATAAAAAATAAGCTAATGAAAGCTTCATATTTGAATGTTATATGGAGAACGGTTAAGAAATAACTAGCGGCACTTCGACAAGTCACAAGTTATTTATTACAAAATTTGGAAGTTACTGGACTTAACAAGTTATTGCCATATTATTTATTCTCTGTACTATTCCACATTGATTCCACTTTCAGAAAAGAATAGAGGAGTGCCAAAAAGAAGGTTTAGATGTAAAGTTAGAAATTGTAGAAAAAGCTTTGATTGCTGTTCAAGGTAAAATATGCTTGTTCTATTTTTAACATAAGACATTTATTTGACACTTTTCGTATATGTCTCAAATACATTCTAGCAAGTCAAACAATTGTACCAGTGTCTTTAATAAGTCAGTACATTTTCAAAAATTCAGCAATCTATAACAATCTTTTCTTTTTTTTCTGCCAATGCTTAAACTTTCTAATTTACAAATTACTTGTTTCACCTTCTCAGGTCCTCAAATGACATCAATACTTCAACCAGGTTTAGATTTTGATTTAAAAACATTACCATTTATGACAAATAAAGAAGCTAAGATATTTGGTATTCCTGATTGCCGTGTTACAAGATGTGGTTATACAGGAGAGGATGGTGTTGAGGTAAGAATAGTTGTACTGGTATAGCAGAGCTGTTGTTTCTCAGAAGTTCCCAGTCAGACATTTCAACATGTATATTAAGATCCTTTACCAATTATTAGAGAGAATGCATGAAAAATACAGAAAATATAGCAAATACCTTAAAATCATTTTGGATCTCAAATCAGACATGACTGGCAAATAGAGATAAATCAACAGCCCTGTGGTATAGTGAATGCTTACTTAGCTTTATCTTCAGCAAATAATGATGAAACCTCTGTAAACTATTGTTGTTTTTGTGTTGTTAACTTCTTTAGCTTTGACAAAAAGTAGCAGACTTGTATGAAATAAAGATGATATCTATAATGAAGTTGTGTCAAAACTGTAACAAGCAACATGTCATTTTCTTCATCAGTTTAGTTTCCTTATTTCATGAAATATAACAAGATTCTAAAAACAACCAAATTCCTTGCCCCAATTAGGACAAAAAATCTAAAAAGAAATTAGATTCTGTTAGAAAGATCAGCTTTATGATTTACATTGTAGATATCTGTAGAAATAAAAAGTATAGAAGGATTATTAGAAACTTTATTAAAATCAACTGAAGCAGAAGTTAAAATGATAGGTCTAGGTGCTAGAGATAGTTTAAGATTAGAAGCTGGATTATGTTTATATGGATCAGATATTGATAGAACTACATCACCTGTAGAAGCAACTCTAGCTTGGACCATAGGTAATATATTTATCTTATTTTAGCCATTGTTTCTCAGGAAAAAGTCTTGAGATTGTATATGTTAATTTTGTTTTCCTATTGGAAAAGCTCAGCTAGTATTGAGTTAAGGTAGGAATGTAGGACGTCACACAAACGGTTTTTGTCACAGATTATAGTGTTGTCAAGAGTTTCATCAACAGGGTTTGGGCAAAATTGGCGACGAAAACAGTTCATGTGCCCCAAGCATTATGGTGCGGTATCCAGTTTGAAATAAAAGACTGGTTTAAACTCAAGGCTTATGATTTGTTAACCACATTAAACACAGTCATGCTCTTGCTCTTTCAGTTCAAGACTTATCACAAATATCAATGTTTGTGAAACTAACTATACACTATGTATTATATAGGTAAAAGAAGAAGACAGGAAGGTGGTTTTCCAGGTGATAAGTTTATTTTGGATCAGCTTAAAAATAAAGCGAGTAAAAAACGTGTAGGATTCACTTCAGCTGGCCCCCCTGCCAGAGGTAAGTTTGATAAGTTTATCATGAATCAGATGTCAACCAGGACCAGTCTGAAGTCAAATTTGTGTGCCAGATTTGTGTGTAGTTTCGTGATTGACCAAGCTCTCAAGAATACTGTGTAATTTTTCTCTACTACTGGATAAGAGAAAATAGTGAAATTTTGCCCCAAAACATCCTTTGGCACTTCTCCTGTATCAGTGAAGTTTGTAAATGTAGTGATTTGATTAGATTTTAACAAATTCAGCCAATCAGACCTAGACAGAAAGACTGTTAACAGCTGTACATGTACTCTAGGGCTATATATTGACTGAGAAAGCTAGCATACAATCTAATTAAATCACTGCATTTACAACCTCCAATGATACAAAAACAGTGCCTCATGATGTCAAGGTATAAGTTGTAGTTTTAACATTCCAGGAGGAACTATTATCTTTGATGAAAGTGGAAAGAAGAAAATAGGAAAAATTACCAGTGGAATTCCCTCACCCACCTTAAAAACAAACGTAGCCATGGGATATATAGATACTCCTTACGGTAAAAATGGAACCAAAGTTGTATTTGATGTACGTAATAAGAAAATTGATGGAGTAGTGGCTAAAATGCCATTTGTTCCAGCCAAATATTATATACCCAAATAACTGCTAAATCATTAAGGCTATGTTTCATGTTAGTGTTCTTTATTCCTGTAAACACCAACTTCTAATGAGGCCACTGTCTTTTTGTGGCAGTGGTATAGCTCAGTCGGTAGCTAGTTGGATTGTTGTTTGCTAGGCGATTAGGTGGCATGGGTGCCAATCCTCCAATGCTTCTGAGAGTCAGACCGATGTCAGCTTTGATCCCCTAATACCAACTTCTATGCTTCTGCGAGTCAGACAAATGTCAGCTTTGATCCCCTAATACTAACTTCTAGCAAATAGGTGATGTGAGGTCAACTCCAGTGAATTTAATATTTTAGAAATTTGTTTTAAGATAGGAGTGATAGCTGACATTGGTGTTTGAAACCATAGATTGAATCTTGAAGGTCTGTCCTGACTGGAGGTCCTCAAGTCATTACAGGACGTAATATTTGACTTACTTAGAAGCTCCTGTGTTAGCCTCACTATTTAGAGAGTTGAACACGGGGAAACATGGCTGCAAGGAATGTATATATATGGTTTATAAGGTATAAGATGCCAACCTTCTGCTTTAACTCAATCACATTCGATAGAAACCTTCACTTGACATGCAAACTGAAGATAATTAAGTCTCCCATGAACCCATGACACCTAATTGCAGCTAAAGAAAACAATCAAGCGCACTATGACAGAGCTGTCTGGCTTAGGGTTGATACTAATATTAAATTTGGAACATTAACATGAAACAATGCCTGAAATAGTTGAGCTCTATAGGTCCAGCAATCATATGCAATTTTATTGATGATTCAAGATTAGATCAGACAAATACTAAAATAATAATAATAATTAAATATCATAATGAATAGCTAATAGTAGGACTCTGAACATTGTGGAGTGGCAACAGGCATTCCAAAAGGGGGAGCATATCCAAAAGCCACAATACAACATTAACTTTTCAAAATAATTTTAAAATCTTAAGAAACCTCATGAATATTAATTTAGAAATTCAAGTTAAATATTAAAAACAGTGTTTTTAAAACACTATTCAATGCATTTATGTTTGAAGCTCACACTATTTTATGTCTGCCAGTGCCATTATGGAATATTAATAATTTTATAATCAAAAGTGCTTATTGAGCAGATTTTCATTGTTATATCTTTAATTTAGCCTAAATTGATTTATATTATTTCATTCAATGATGATCTGGTCATATTTTATTTGTTGCTCAATTGTTAAAAATCTCAGTATTATATTTTTACTGTGCCATATTGTATTATTATATTACTCTTTGCCTTTATATCTGGTATTGCCTCATTGAATTTCAAATATATTCCCACTTGAAAGTGTCATATTATTGCTTTCAGCTATGTATTCTTTTATCATTTATAATTTGTTGAATTTTTGTTTGAAAATGGATGGTGAATAGTATAATACTCTCTCTCTGTACCATAGATATACTTAATGAATGGAGGATATTTGTTTCTTTTAGTTTAAAAAATGGCTCTCTCTGTGATTGCAATTGTCAGTCAGTCAAAGCATGAACACATTATGTCTGTTTTCTAGTGATCAAGGTATCTTCTGTGGTTATTTTTTATCAGATTTGCATGAATATCTTTCAACCAACTTTGGTTATTGTGTTGGTAGACAAACAGTCTTGGTCGTCCATTTTTTTCTCTGACTCGAATCTTCAGGAAAATCTCACACGATTTATAAGCTTGATAGTTGTCATCATCCAATCAGATTCATTTCAATTGCATGATCTGCATGTGGTTATTGTGAAAACCACTAACTGGTATGCCTGCAGCTGGTCTGAGAAACTATTGACAAGACTCAAGTCGTCGACAAAAATCAACAACCAATACTGTTCATGTGCCTGCACTCTAACAACTTATTTCTGATGAGATATATTCAATACTTTGCCTTTTATTGCTTTCTTTCTTGATATATTTACTCTTTATTATATCTAATTATATTTGTGATTTATTATCAAATTCTATACAGAGATTAAATATTTTCAATAAAATTGACTTATTTTTTCACACATTTTAAATGTATAATTATTATATTTATTCCACTGCACCAATCAAGACCGTCGAGCAATCCAAGTTAAAATGAGGCGTAAGGTTGTCCTGATAGATTTAAAATTCAGAATTGAAAATATTTGCCTAAAGTATATGAAATTATAATTTGTATTAAACTCACTTAACAGGATAATTACCAGTATAACCTTGGCGACATAAATCCAGTACTAGCAGACAGACGGAAGAGGTAGTATATGTATAAAAGACTGGCTGGATCAGGAAGAGCATAATATCCTCTTCTCTTCTAGAAGAACTCATACCTTAACGGGAGATCAGATGGGAGATTTGATGCCAAGTGGAAGCTTGTTTTTGTCTTTTAATTTCCCAAGAACCCCTTGATTCAGATACCTCAAGCCCACCTCCACATCACGCTCAAGTTTTCATGTTAGTATATCAAAACTGAAATTAACATGAATACCAGTTTCACATAATATATTTTAAAAGAAAATATCAGTATACAGACATTTTGATGTGGAATAAATGGTAGACTATAAAATCTACAGAATATATAATAGACAAAGAAGTATACAACCTAATCAACTGATGCTCACATACATGTAGGCATTATTGCACAGATGACCATAGCTTGTGACCAGTTACACAAATTTCAGTACTGGCTTAAGGTCAAACGAAAGACTTTCTCAACAGCTAGCAAGCTCTTAGAGATGAAACTTCTTAGTGTAATATATGATGCATCATTTTAAAAGTGAGAAAATTTCTATTTGATTGAATAGTGATCCCAGTAAGGAACTTGGAAAATAAATAGAGGAAAGGCAAAATTTCAGCTCAGGTCAAAAGAGGCTCTGATGTCAGGTTTAGAGGGGAAATTTAACCACTTTAATCTTTTCACCCCTAAAACCAAAGTTTTAGTGTTTTTATTTGAAAATACAAGCGAACCAAGGGCCATAAAAATTCCTCGAAATAGAGAAAGTCTGGGATCACTGTTGTTTATTACATAAGGATCAAGATAAGTATGCAATAAAAACACATGTACATGTAATTATAACCTCGCACATAAGACTATACAAAAAAAAGGAATATTGCTATAATTTGAAATTGAAAACCAATTCACTCACAAAAAAGGGAAAATCGATGTAAAAAAGAATAAAATAGCACTTAAAGTAAAGAGAAAAACTCAAAATATCAGTAAGATAAAACTAAATTTGCATCTTAACAATTGCATCAAATAATTTCTAAAACAAATAATAATGCTTTCAAAATTGTGCTTCATTGGAAAATTGCAATTGTGTATGCCTAATAATGCACCCATGTGTGGTTTAATCATATCAGAAACTATGCAGCATTTTGCATCATAATAATGCCAATTAACTTTGGAAATGATCACCATTTTGCATAATACTGATGAAAAATAAAAGATGACTCGACAGTCTAGAATGTTTCAAAACTCAAAACCATGTACTGTATCTTTAACTTACTAGGAATTATCCTGCTTCTGATAGCTAGTTTTTAACAGATTTTTACTAACTCAAGCTGACTAACATCCGTCAAAAATTAACTATCGAATGTAGGATATTGATATTCTATATGTAAGTTTTAGATTATCATATTTACAAATATAACATAAGAAATTCATAACAAAATATAAACAACTAAATATAACAACATTTTCACCGGGTATTCTTCCATATACAGACATAAATTTCAAAGCTATACCTTCCCTAATATTTATCTTTAAAACAAACAAGATATAGGTAAAGACCATAACACAATATTTTCACTGTAATAATAGTGCTTCATGCATGAGCGATATAGAAATATTAAAACAGAATCTGAAACATGTCCTACCGGTAACTCAGTGTTACTGAAGCTCACACAGCATGACAGCATGTTTCAGGTTCTCTGAAAATATTGATGAAGCCAATATCAGAATGCATTCAAGTGTTCAGGGTTACCATGGTTGACTATCGTTTTTTTGGAAATAGTATAGCAGCTTTAAATCACAGAAAACTTCATAAAAAGTAAAATCTCTGATTTCTACAGTTGAATATCTATATATCAGGACCTGAATAAAAGTTTGACTGTCTATTACTGGAAAGACATGGCAAGAAAATGAGTAGAATAATCTCAAAAATCATTCAGATTAAAACTTGACACCTGAAAATCTTCTACATACAAGTTTGGTTGCCATACAGACTTTTCGAAACACAACAAAAATTAATTTGAAATTTTTGAGCACCTACAATGTCAATTTGGGAAAATTCAAGTCAATAACACATATTCTTCTTCAAAAGATTTTTCTTTCTATCATTCAACACAAAAAATACTTAGAACTATGGAATTTTTTTTCCAAAAAACAGATCAGTTACCTTCGCATAAGAATAAATATTTCATAATTCCATGCCTAACTAGACAATTATTTCAATACCAGATTTTCTATTTTCAGTATCTTGTTGGTGTCAGAACCATTAATACAACACTAGAGAACTAAGGAAACAGATTTTTGCCATACAGCAGATCTTTTCCCTTTTGACGTAAACCTCTTGTTTCATACAGTCTACTGATAGCATAATCCATCTTTTTACGATTCTTACGTAAATACATCTTAGCATCTTTCTCCATGATATCAATTTTCTCTGGTCTGATTTCGTTCAACTGTAAATCTTCTGACATGTAAGGATTAAAACGAAAGTAGGTTTGTGGAGGTAGTAAGGTTTGACACTGTCTGTGTACAGCTGAAAAAAAACAACAAGCAAAGAGTTTAAAACAAGATTGAAAAAACATCTGAATTTCATCTAAGGATAACATCTTTAAGTTCGAAAGAAATTTTCTTCCAACTGGTCATCCTAGGATAATTAACTATTATGATAGCTCAATGATTAAAGGGATTGTAAAAGAGTTTTTTTTAATTTTTGTGTGTATACGGGACACTGATAGCATCTGTAGTTCCTGCGATTCCACTAAAACTCAATGTTGACATCACCAATCGCAAAAGGCCTTATGTGATACAAGCATATTATTTTGTTGTTAGTAACGTCATCAAACACTTAGTTTTATTGGAATTGCAGGAATCACAATTGAAATAAGTATGGTGCAAATTGATGCTATCTTTGTTACACATAATATGTACAACTATGTAAAAAGATCAAATATCAAAAACATACCCTCAGTATCTGTGGCACTCTCTAAGACTTTATAAGCCTTCTCTGTTAGTGAGATCTTTGGACTGAATTCATAATTAGGCTCATAACGCCCTGTACCAAGGGAGATAACACACTGAATCTGCTCATCAGGCCACAATAATTTACTTTCATCTATTGCTACAAAGGTTGGATTGTTGGTCAGTAAACCACCATCCTGTAATAAATAACAGACATTTTAGAAATGTAGCTTGTTGGGGTCAAAATGGTTGATACTTTTATGTCACAATCTACTGGCTAATGGACAAGTTAAGGGGGTCTGTAGCTCACTAAGTTAGAGCATTGGAAACTTTACATAGCATCATTTACTTTGTTACTTTAAACAAATGGTGGTTGTGGGTTCTAATCTTGGCACATGTAGGTCTTGTGGCATTGAATAAGCCATCTTTCCTCATCCTCATAATTCCAGCTGTAAGTGGGTAGTATGAATAATACAGAAAACCAAATGCCAAGACCCTAAGTTGTTATACTTTTAAACAATGGTTGTTTCTTTCTTTTCATGTTTTCAATTTTTCAAAGAAAGTTGGATCAATTTTACAAAAATTTCTTAAAGTTAGATTTCCTCAAAATTGCTATTAAATGAAACATCTTTTTTCAAACTACAATTGAAAAACTTAAAAATATACTTACATTGTGTATATAATCACCCAGTTCAAAATGTTGGAAATACATAGGTGCTGCTGATGAGGCTCGAATTCCTTCCCAGATTTTATTATTGGCACTACCAGGATAGTTAGAATAAACACCAGGGGGCAGGTTATAATTACGAAACAAAAAATTTCTCAGTTTTGTTACATTCATTAATGTTGAAATTGCAGAAAACTAAAAAAAGAAAATTAACTTAACTGTATCATAAATGTAAACTTGCGATTCAAAATAATTCTATCCATAAATTTTCAGATGATGATATACATGTATCAAATTGAAATTCAACTAAAACAACTGAGGTTCACAAGGATCCTTTCTATTACTTGGCTAAAGCCAAATCTCTTTTAAACCCAAAGCTTAGTTAATTGAAGGTCATCAGACCAAGAGATTAAAATCCACCCACCACCATCAATTGTTCCACGTAGCCAAGTAAATAGTAGAAAGACATAACATAAGTAAGCTGAGAGTTTCTTTGGACTCTGTCTCTCACTTCCAAGACAGCTTATCAAATGATGAATTATAATTACAAACAATAAAGGATTAAATAGATATAAAGCATATTTAGTGTAAATACATACCTTAGGGCAATTAGGATCTCGAGAATATTCTATAAAACATTTATTACCAATCTGATTCCTATCAAAATATAATCATATCAACATATTAAAGAGGCAACATAGGATGAATTTGTAAAACAAGATTATGTATGTTTAGTTTTCAAATGATTTCAAGATACTTCTTTAATTAAATTAACCATTTGCAGGGAAATTGTATACTTACTTCAAAATCTCCTCCCAGACTTTTGTTTCATACCAGGAATGGTTCCAGAACAGATCTCTAGCACCAGCAATACGGTTCCTGGAGAAGGTCTGGATACTAAACTCTTTATACAAGGATTCTGCAACATCTACAGACTTCTTCTCAAGAAATATCAGTCCTGCTACCAATGCTCCTGTACTCACACCACAAATATAGTCAAACTTATCTAGTATATTACCATCAGGACATAGAGCTTGAAGTTGACGAATAATTTCTAAAGGAATCAGTCCCCTAAAATACAAATATATTTACCAAAATAAGCATTATAATCTATGTGGACTCTCTGAATGTTCTGATGAGTTGACAATGTGAAACCCTGGTGAAGAGTGACATCAGCATCAGATAAATGTATCGTGAGTGTGAATATAAAAGAAGCCAAAAAGGCATCTTCATGTTTTCAAAAAATATGACTGTAAATAAGAAGAATTTGTGATGTAAAAAGAGTTTTTACCTGGTTCCCCCACCATCTATAGACAATATTCTGATACCACGACTTTTTAATGGTGGAACATAACCAATCAATGCCAGAGCTTCATTTGCCATTCCTCGTAATGTTTGATCTGATGATTTCCTAAATGCAATTAGATCTGGTACCACTTTCTCCTGTAAGAAATATAAGGATGAATAAACAAATTTCATTATTGTTGGGAAAGCTGTTGTACAGGTAGAGGTAAACTGTTTTCAAAAACAAAACATCAATTACAACAAATTTATACATTCATAAATTTCTTGATTTTAGGAGGTGTATTTCTAGCCACTGAAGTTATATTATCAAAATATTATCATTATTTATATTCCAGATTGCACTTATTGATTATTTCAAAAAGACCTAATTGAACTGTATGATATAATTGTTTAATTAACAGCTGATTGTTTATTACATTAACAGCTTTAATTATCAATATCCACACAAACTGATAACAAAACTTGCATGTACAACAACATCTGTTACTTATACTGAGCAAATGTCCATAGTTCAATGTTTGTCATACCTACTAGTGACTAGTGTAACAAGCAACAACTTAATGTTTACTAACCATACAAGCATTAGCTTACTTCAATATTACAATAAACTAAGATACCCACCTTATAAGCTATAACTCTAGAATTATGATGTTGTAAAAGATGATTACAGAACTCTTCAGTTCGTGTAATTTTAGAGCTGATTGACTTAGCAGCATGAATACTGTGAACCAGGGCACGTGTTCGACTATCAATCACAGCACGAGATATAAAATCTTTCTGAATGAGAGGCTTTGTGATCTGTTTATTTGGCTTAGGTTTTGAACTTCTAAAAGGAGCTCTTGCCCATATATTTTGAAGGAGATTGCCTTCTTTTTGAGTTTCTATGACATTTTGTACACTTTGTGTTGTGACATCGGTAGGTTTCATATACTGGTGAGTTTCAGAGGGAGGTAGATATTCGAAATTCATGGCCTCTTCAAATGTATGTTGTTCTCTATTATGATGGACTGGATCCCGTACCACAATGACTTTCTTCTGTGTTACAGGTGTAGGTAGTTTAGTGTGTTCTCCATTTGACAAATCTTTCACAAATGGAATATATTTTTGAAAGTCTGTGGCAATGCCACGAGGTATTGCAGTTGCAACATAAGAAACATTGTTCACTATGCTTGACACATATTTATTATCTCGCATATTCTTCACAGCAATCAACTGTTCTTTTATAGTTTCTAGGGTAGACTTTTTCTTTTTATCCTCATTTTCATTTCCATCTTTCTTACTAGTAGAAGAACAGTGGAATGTTTGTTGGTATGTACCCATTTCACAAGCTGATGTTATAGGGTTTATTTTTCTATTTGGTGAAGCACTCCTCCAGACGGTCTGCTGTGGTTGAACAGAACCAGTTAGATGTCTTGTTGAACAGGTTTTAATAGGAACTCTCAACGCCATCTTGGGCTGAAATTAAATTACAATATTCAAAATCTGAAAGAAAGGTCCTTAGCCCTATTTTAAATCAATGCTGTTATTTGTTTAAATATAAAATCAAAATTAACTTCCATGTAAACACTCAAAGATGGATTCTATCAATCATATCCTACAGACAGACTGGCAATTCATTAAAAACCATATATTAACAGTTATATACTACTTCTTATTTTCAAATTCCTAATTAATGAAGATATCCTACATACAAACTAGTAAAGAGTAGAACAAATAAATGTTGAGCTATTGGTCTTGGCTTGATAACTAAACTTAATATCAAGGGTGAGACCAGTGTAGTGTCTATTAGTACATACTGACTGAAGCCAAACCCTGATAATATGATCATAAGGCCATAACCAATATACACATAAACAATGCACTGAGATCAACTATAAAAAATTTCCTCGGTTTGACTTCCTTAATTAAACAAAGGAGCATGGAAATCAATAAATTTCATTTTAAAATTCACTTTATACTTTATCATTGTGTCAATACTGTCAACTCAGTTAAAACATTAATTTGAAACCTTCAAATTTTCAATAAAAGCATGGTTTTAACATCAACCTAACTCTACTAAATTGTACTTCATAATGTACCATGTTGAAAATTTTGTGTATCATTTGATAAGCTTACAGAACAATAAAACTGAAACTTGTAAAATTGTTAATTATTCAGATTTCAAGGAAGAAAAATGGTGGAAAACCATCAAATTTATTTTCAGCAAACCACTAAAGACACACAAAAAGAAAATCTAAATCCAATCTGATGTAATTTCATAAAAGTCAGAAATCACTCATTAATTTAATAAAAATCTTTTTCAATTAAAGAGATATTTTTTGTATAATAATGCACCAAATACTATAATAGCCTATAAACTATAAAGATAAAGTGGTTATTTGGGTGAGTAGGTCAAACCACAAAAATAAACAAAAGACCTAATAAAGTTTTTTCTGTAGGTAGGGTAGGTTAGACAACATTTGATCTGTCAAAAGACATTCAGACATTTCCTTGTACATTTTCACTATGTTTACATTATCCAAAAAATCGAAAAAGTAACAAAAACATGATAAAATTCAAGTTTGAAAAGGTCTTGGGCCTCAAGCCAACTGTCTGAGCCATCGACTTTCTGTTTGTTGAGCAAGAAAGTAGGATAAATATCTAAAATTTATGCTCTGTGAGAAGCAGCAAAGTGTTAACTAAGTTGAGTTTGAGTTTCAATAACTATGCCTATGCACCTTGAAGCTATAAAACTCAAATAAGGCAGTAAAAATCAAAGTCAGTGGAGATATTGATTTATGAAGATGATGCAGATGAAAATGTTGCAGACGTTTCCAGAAAAATAAAGCACTCACCAAAATTCTGTTGTTAGGCTTAGCCTTAAATCAACCACTCCGAAATATGTGCCTTCTTGTTCCCTGATAAAATCTCCTCCTTTAATTATAAGTTTGCGTTCTATTCACCTTTCCAGAACGAAGATTTTATGATTTTCTGTTATATTTTGACATCATTCAATATTTTAACAACAAATGGCGTGACCGTAAATATTTCTTACATGTAATTTGATTGGTTAACCGAGATTCCGTAGTCTTGATTATATTTAACGTTTACAAAGATTATAGACTTGATTATACAAGACACTTTGTTATGCGTACTTAAAAAAAAAATTGTGACGCATTAACATCGAATAAACATAAAAACCTGACCTACGACAAATTTTTCCGTATTTTCTAAGGCTCAAAGTGACCCAAAGGTAACCCATTAATGAAAAGAAAATGGATAATCCCAAATTACCCAATCGATAATCCTGTCAATCAAAGAGGTGTTACCGATATTCCAACCAATCAGAGCCATCGTTAGATATTTTGAAATGTGACGTCGCATGGAATGATCCAAAATATAAACAAAGCCACGTGTAAATTTGACAGTTTCCTTCAGAAATCGTACGATTTTACTCATAGTGGTTATTTATACTGGATTATTCATTACTTCCTGTCTTTCTTAAATGAAATAATTTTATCCTTTGGTCTACTATAAATACTCTACAATCTTGAAACCAAGGAAGTTGTTATAGATTAATTTAGTCCTAATTATGTCGATGCCTTCAGATTCTGCTGAAAAGAGGATAGGGACCTAAGTAGCCTTTTAACCTCCCTTACCATCTAGCCAGTGTCAAGTCTATAATTTGTAAACATATCTCTGTGGTTCTAGTGGATTCAGCATTCTGAAAACTTGTATTACGACCAAGATAGTTGGACACGATATTTCGTATTATAATTTGAATTCCTTAAGTTACTAAATTTCTAATCTAGCCAGTG